CCAGCAAACCCACAACACATCCGCTCCCGTGTCGCCTGTAACACACTGTTGGGGCAAGCGCTGTTAGCGAGTAGCACCTATGATGGCCGGAATCACACACGAGCGGGTGGGTGGCCAGCACCACGCCGAGCTGCCTTTGTTTCCCTCGTGACGATGTTTATACTGTACACCGCACCAGGTACTTGTTTGAGGCTGAGTCGATTTAGAGGAGGCCCAGGCCCGGTTAAAATAATCCTCAGGGCGCACACAAAGACAAAGATCTTAAAGCATTAAAGCTTTCGTGACTGCATAAAATTACTCATTGTTTTTTTCGGTAAAGTCACGTATGTAGAAATACAATAAAATTATATTAAAACAAAAAACAATCACGACGTTTCGATCACAACGCAAGCGAACTTCATCAGGTGTCAAGAACAAATCACGGAGGTAAATGCAACAAAAAGATGAGAGACGAGAATTCAACAAACCTGAAAAAACATTTTGTGAAGCACATCCAGTCAGGCCAACAACACAGACACTTCCTGGCAGACCACACATTTCAGAAGAGTGTTAAATTTCGTGTTCAACCTTTGGATTGCACATACCAGCATAGATAGAATGAAAAATACGAGGTACACGGTCAGTAGAAATACATATACAAGTCCACCAAGAAGTAAGGAGGGAGGAAAGACGGACAGGGAGGCAGAGAGAGAGAGAGGGGGCAGCTCAAAAAATGACCACCTCTTGTAAATACAAAACGGCAGCTCAAAAAAGGGCACATCTTACACGTAATTACAACGGTAACTTCCCCGTAGAAGTGTGATAATAAAGTATTAAAGCTTTCGTGACTGCATAAAATTACTCATTGGTTTTATCGGTAAAGTCACGTATGTAGAAATACAATAAAATTATATTAAAACAAAAAATTATCGTCTCTCATCTTTTTGTTGTATTTACCTCCGTGATTTGTTCTTGACACCTGATGAAGATCGCTTGCGTTGTGATCGAAACGTCGTGATTGTTTTTGGTTTTAATATAATTTTATTGTATTTCTACATATGTGACTTTACCGAAAAAAACAATGAGTGACAAAGATCTTGCCTGTGTAGCCTTGACAGACTGTAGGGGCTTAGTGCTATTAGCGAGCACCTATGAAGGCCGGCACGGCACACGAGGGGGTGTGTGGCCAGCACCACGCCCGGCCGCCTTTGTCTCCCTAGTGGCGATGTTCACACACCGAACCAGGTACTCAATTGAGGTCGAGTCGATCTCGGGTTCGCAGCGCGACTCACACCCATAGTTCGGGTTGCCGGTTCCTCGGCACGGATTCCTTTGCCCTCCGCTCCTTCCGATGTGCAAACTCCTCGCGAGATGACGGGAGAGATGCACACAGAGAGACACAGAGATGTGGTCACGGTGGTGCGAGCAACGCGGGCCAACGGCAGAGGTGCGACAAGAGACGGGAGACATCGAGGTGCAAGCATTCAATGAGCGACGTGGGCAAGGGACGGCCAATGTAAGTGAGCTGATGGAACAGACAGATGGGTGTCCCACAGACTTCACACCAACGTCCGGCTTTACGGAATAAAAATATATTTTTTGCGCGAACGCAAAAAATAATCGCTCAAATTGCGGCGACTGCTCGGACGAGCGGACAATTGAGTTTGCCCTCGCGCAAACGACTACAAATTTTATTTTATTCATCCACCGCACCACGGACGAAACGGGCGCGCACAACGAGAAAAAAAAATCACGGCACGAGAAGCCACCCCAGTGGGTGGGGCGGGCGGGGGGCTGCCTCGTGCATCCCCGACTGACGTCATAATGCCCCCCCACCCCCGGCACGGCAATGGCGTCTCCGCGTCACCTTCGCCATGACATTCTAAAGCGCAGCAGTTTGCCTCTTGTTGGTGAGTTTGGTTTTGTTTGAGAGTCGTCATTATTTTTCAACCGTTTCAATAGTTTGTGTGTCCTTTGCGATTGTGAATTATTATTTTGTGAAATGCGATTGTGGGTGTATTGTAATTTTTGGGGGGTTGGGAGTTCCAGTCGTACTGACTGTCTGAAGCGCAGCCTGTACGTGTTGGTGTTAAATGAATGGGGAAACAGAAGCGAAAAGTCGCTGAGCGCGGAATTTTTTGAAGAGTGCATCCCTTCTGTATATCGAGAGATACCCGCATAGACAAGATGAGAGGGGTTAAATTCGCTACGTCAATTGATTTTAAGTTTGTTAGGCTCTGAATCCGAGCCGATAATTGGTGCGTTCCGATTGTATCGTTATTTACGAAATGCTCAACATGATGCCGCTGTAAATTTCGATTTAAAGCTTTCGTGACTGCAAGGATTCATCTTCTTTGGTTCTTTCGGTAAAGTCACGTAGAATGAGAATAAAATAATAAAATAACACAATAAAATTCTCACGACGTTTCGGCCACAACGCAAGCGGCCGTCTTCAGGTGAAAGGTACAGACCTGTCGGGACGACAAAGCTCTGTTATTACTGCTGCTTAAGATATTGATAATGATAATGCCGCTGATGATGATATTGATGATCATGATGCTGCAGCTGTTAATGATAATACTGCTGCTGATGATATTGATGGTGCTGCTGACGATGATAATACTGCTGATGATGACACTGCCGCTGCTGCTCCTGATGATACTGCCGCTGATCTGAAGACGATACTGCCACTGCTGCTGCTACTGCTGATACTGCCGCTGCTGAAGATGATGCTACTGCCGCTGCTGCTAACGATACTACCGCTGCTGATGATGATAGTGCCACTGATCTGATTATGATGACACTGCTGCTGATGATAATACTGCCGCTGCTGGTGACACTGCCGCTGCTGATGACACTGCCGCTGGTGCTGATGATGATACTGCCGCTGCTGATGACTGCCGCTGGTGCTGATGATGATGATACTGCCGCTGCTGATGACGATACTGCCGCCGATGATGCTGATGCTGCTGCTGCCATTGCTGCTGACGCTGCTTCCAGGCCGCATGGCTGCTCGTGAACTTGCTGATGCTCGGATTTGCCTACGCCAAGTTCTCTCGCTCCGACCGGTACTTCTACACCCGTGCTCTCGTGGGGGTGAGTCGACTCCCCCTCCTACTCTGTGCCTTCGGCTAGGTCAGTCTGGAACGCTGCTCCCGGGACTTGTGACACGCTACGGCCACCTCGCATTACTCTACCCTCACATGATGTAGTACAGTCATTATTGTAGCGCCCGGTTACTCTCGTGATAGTGCCTTACGCCAACAATCACTACTCAGCGCTAGCCTAAGCAGCGTTCTGGTGAACGTGGAGCGAGAAATCAAGCCCCAATGTTTTGGTTGTGTACGTGTCCGTTTGTGTCTGTCTTGAGTATCTGTGTGTGCGTTTTTTCACCATGGCTGAGAATGCCACTGTTGTATTGTCTTATACAGTATATAGATTCATAAAGCGCCCTAATATAAGGGGCTTTACAACAATGATCAAATTGTGGGGTTATTAACAAGTGGTGGTGTACATACGGGTGACGGGAGGGCAGGCGGAGTGGTTAAGGAGGGGTATGGTCAGGGGTCGTGATAGGGTTTGGAGTAGTGACAGGGGTAGTAATAGGGGTCGTGATAGGGGTAGTGATAGGGGTAGTGATAGGGGTTGGGGAAATGATAGGGGTTGGGGTATTGACAGGGGTAGTGATAGGGGTTGGGGTAGTGACAGGGGTAGTGATAGGGGTTGGGGAAATGATAGGGGTTGGGGTAGTGACAGGGGTAGTGATAGGGGTCGTGATAGGGGTAGTGATAGGGGTAGTGATAGGGGTTGGGGAAATGATAGGGGTTGGGATAGGGGTTGGGGTAGTGACAGGGGTAGTGATAGGGGTCGTGATAGGGGTAGTGATAGGGGTAGTGATAGGGGTAGTGATAGGGGTTGGGGAAATGATAGGGGTTGGGATAGGGGTTGGGGTAGTGACAGGGGTAGTGATAGGGGTTGGGGTAGTGATAGTGATTGAGGTTTGGGTAGTGATAGGGGGTTGGGGTAGTCATAGGGGTAGTGATAGGGGTAGTGACAGGGGTAGGCCAGGTGGTATCTTGGGGCGTGCAGGCAAGGAGTAGCAGGCTTGGTCTCGGGAAGGCGAGATTTTTCTTTAGGAAGGGCCGGAATTAAATAAACCACGAGGAACTGTGGCGTTGCCGGCCTTGCGTGATATCACCACTGGCTGAGATTTTTGTTTCGTTTAACTTCACCGGGTTTTCTTTTTCGTCACCCAAATCAAGAATTGTCCTCTAGTCCGATGGCGACTGGCCCTGAAGTGTCCATTTGCTGGGCAGATGAACGTCCTGCCCGACTTCCAGCTACGAGATGTGGACGAGGAGGATGCACTCCCCTTGACCTTTTATCCACGTGACCTTTTTTTTGCCGGTATCCAAAATTATGAAAATTAAGAATGGGCGTTTATCCTTTCTGGTAATGTAACAGGAGGCGCTTAAGATGTTCAAACACCAAATAGATTATATATTTTGCAAGACATCAAGTCTGCATTGACCACACGGTACTTGTGGCAAAACATGTCAACAAATATGCTGATGTTTGTTTGCATATTTCCAGAACGGGGAAAAAAACATTCTTATCGATTCATCATTTGGCAACAAAAGATCCCATAGATACAACTGCTCAACCTGAGATATGAATACTCTGAAACTTGCAGTGTCTTTGTTCTGTTCGCCTATTGGTGCTCTCTGGTCTGACACTGGTAGTGAGACAAGGCCATAGAGAAGGCTGCTGCTGTCCCTGGTGTAGGCCAATCAGTTTGACAGACAACGCATTACATGATTATTGTCAGAGCATGTTTGTTTGCATGTTTTGCCACAAGTAACGTGTGCGGTTAATGCAGACCTGAACAACGTATCATCGATTTGGCGTTTCAACAAACATCTTAACACACCTCCTGTTATCGCCAGAAAGGGTAAAAAGCGAATCTTCTTTTTCATCCCTTTGAGCTACCTTGGGGGGGGGGGGGGGGGGGGTGCCTAAAGTGTTGCCTCCCCTCTGCCTTCGTGCTGCCGCCACTCTGTTCGCGGCGGTCGCGCGATGCAGGACGCCCTATCGTGGGCCCGCGCCTCAGCCGCCTGCCTCAACCTCAATTGCACCATGGTCCTGCTGCCCACGTGCCGCCACCTCATGTCACGTGTCCGCGCTGCATGCTGGGTAACTGTCACGTGACTCTCGCACGTGGGTACATCTGCGTGCGTGTGTGCGCGCGTTCATATAAATGTGGGGAGCGGTGGTGTTGCGGTTAGCATGCTCTGCTACGAACCTGACGGCCCGGGTTCGATTCCCGCTCATGGCCAAAACCGTCGACGATTATCTGAACCGGTCCTGGGCTTCCCCTAAGTTGACTCAGCCGCAAATGAGTACCTGCTGCGATGTATAAACATCACCACTCGGGAGACAAAGGCGGCCGGGCGTAGTGTTGGCCACCCACCCCCTCGTGTGCCGTGCCAGCCTTCATAGGTGCTGCTCGCTAGCAGCACTTGCCCCAACAGCCTGTTCAGGCTACACGGGGGATCATTGTCTTTGTTGTCTTCCGTGAGCACATCAACCGGGGAGATGGAGCGATGAAATCAGTTCACGTGCTATTGCAGGATCGGGAGATATGTGGTGACGGCTTGTGGAGGCTTTCGTTCTGTTAATTCAGCAGGAGATCGACCATGGCTGATGATAACCTATAATAAATTGACTACCCTGTGCGTGTGTGTTTCAGCACTGCAGACCCGCAATTCGCAGGCAGATGGATCACTGTGGTTATTTTCATCGGACTATCGCCTATACCATAGTACTACTCACAGGTAGGTAAATCCACAACCCAGTATAGCCTTCAGAAGCCGCGGAAAATGCCGGTGTAGCCTTAAACACAACAAAACATCACGGTATGGCATAGAACGCCACAGTGGTTTGAAAGACAAAAAGCTAAATGGGGGAATCGGTTTGTGTTTGTGTGTCTGTGTAGTAGCGTAACGTCTAGCGCTACGCTGCTCTACGGTTTGTGTTTGTGTGTCTGGTAGCGAAACGTCTAGCGCTACGCTGCGCTACGAACCCGGCGACTAAGTTCGATTCCCGCTCACGTGCAACACCAGTGGCGATTATTTTAACCGGTCCTGGGCCTCCCCTAGGTTGACTAAACCTCAAATGAGTACCTGGTGTGGTGTGTAAACATCGCTACCGGGGGAGACAAAGGCGGCCGGGCGTGGTGCTGGCCACCCACCCCCTCGTGTGCCGTGCTGACCTTCATAGGTAGCTCGCTGACACCGCTTGCCCCAACAGTCTGTTCAGACTATACGGGGGGTCTTTGTCTTTGTAGCGGTGCACGTCGTGGCCCACATCCTCGGATCCGAGCGATTCTACGCGGCGAGCCGAGCTCACGACAACTCCCTCCACGCCCGTCTCTCTGCGCTGGGGACGAATCACAACGAGACGCGGCTGAACCCAGTCTGGCGCGCAAACACGGTGGTGACTCCCCCTGAGCCCCCAACCGCTACGCACCCAACGCCCCCCGCACGGCGACTAAACCAAGCTATTTTTTTTATTTTACCAGGTAAGGCCCCACTGAGCCATCACGTGTAGCTCTTTTTCAGAAGCGACCTGGCCACAAATGACAGCTCAACGAAGTGGCTTGTCGTCGTCGTGTGGAAATGTACCGCAGACAAATAACTATGAACGCAGGATGTCGATTCAAAAAGGTGGCGGGAACAACCTGGAGGAAAAAAAATCCACGCAACCACGGGGAGAACAGCCAACTCACAAACTCCAAATATGCGACAGATATCAGGGTCGGGATTGAACCCACGACCTCCTGTATACCAGGCGAGGTAGTTAACATCTCCTGGCCACCGTAGCGCCCCCTCACAAAGACCAGGCGCGAGGCATTCAGCTGACGATTATTCGTTTGCGATATCACAACAACCGTACCGCGTTACATTTTAACATTAGACGCTGCGGCATGGTGTAACGGTCAGCATTCTGGACTTGCAATTGTAAAAAAATTGGCACATTAAATAAATAAAAAGCCACTTCATCAACAGGCCAATGTGCACATCTCCTTTATACACTGAACATTAAAGACAAGCCGATCGTAGTGTGTTTTTGTGGCCATGTAACCCAAATTATTGACCGAACAAATATCCCATAGAGACACAGAGAGATATATATATAGAGTCGCATACAGAACAATAGAGACCTACAGAGATACATTAAAGACAAGCCGATCGTAGTGTGTTTGTGGCCATGCAACCCAAATTATTGACCGAACAAATAACCCATAGACACAGAGATATATAGAGTCGCATACAGAACCATAGAGACCCATAGAGATAGATTAAAATATAAGCCACAGGAGTGCAATTGTGGCCACGCATTTTAAACTCTGGACCACATAGCAAGCCACTATAATCCGTGCCCCTTCAGTTGAGGAGGAATTATCAAAACTACAAACTCTCTGCTGAAGTCCTCTCGTCGTATCCAGCAGACCTCAACGTCAGTGGCATCTAGCGCCTGAACATATTGACACATGCAAGAATAACATACAGGCATAACGCTTATCGCGCTCAGGATACGTTCTTGGTAAACGGTGCGCTATCAGAAACAGCGCTATAGGAGGTCACTATAACATGGTGCCAATGGGGATGCGTTACCAACAGCACTGTACGAAACAGCGGTATAGGTCACTATAACATGGTTCCAATGGAGATGCGTTACCTACATCGCTATACTAAACAGCGCCATAGGAGGTCACGATAACATGGTTCCAATGGAGATGCATTACCTACATCGCTATACTAAACAGCGCTATAGGAGGTCACGATAACATGGTTCCGATGGAGATGCGTTACCTACATCGCTAAACTGAACAGCGCTATAGGAGGTCACGATAACATGGTTCCAATAGAGATGTTACCAACAGCACTGTACAAATCAGCGCTATAGGTCATTATAACGTGGTTCCCATGGAGATGCGTTACTGAGAGCGCTTTATTGTTTTAACCTATGAGGGATATATGAGAGCTTCATTGTTGGTAGCCTTAATAATGATACTGTCATAATCATCATCATGACCCATGGGCAGATACCCTGTAGGTGTCCACTGCACATTCCGTCATTGATACTGTACACATGATAATTGTTTTCAAGCAATTTATAAATAAATAAAAAACAACTTTTAACGACGACATTGCAACGATGTTACGTACTCACCAGTGCATTCGGTCGGAGCTTTTGTAAGATTGACCCCCGACTAACGTTCAAGACTGAGCGTGCGGTTCTGGTAGGAGAGAGGGCGTCGCACGCCGCTTGTTCTCGCCACTGGCGGAGCCAGTGGGGGGGATGGGGTGGCACGTGCCCCCCCAATGATCCGATCAAAATCCCTAATTTCGATCGGATCATTGGGGTTTATTAGTAATAAATCGGCATTTTAGACCTCCACTGCCACTGTGTAGCATATTATTACGTGCCAAGGACTCTGTGAGATGATAGGACAATAGTCTGAGTCCATAATTGGCAATAAGTAACGGCAAAGCAGTTAAAAGTGACTCACAGAATTGTGCGCGGTTGCGTATACAGGAAACGACGTCCCTGAAGGTATCAACACCTTCAATGAGTGCGATGCCGATCACACAACGCGGTTCCAATTCGACCCTCGATCGATGTCTGCGTCATCGCCGCACACGCATCGAATAAAAAGCAAGGGACAAGTCCTTACTTACTAACAACTCCTTACTAACAAGTCCTTACTTACTAACACGTCCTTACTTACTAACAACTTCTTACTAACTCCTTACTTACCAACAAGTCCTTACTTACAACTCCTTACTTACTAACAACTCCTTACTTACTAACAACTCTTTACTTACTAACAACTCCTTACTTACTAACAAGTCCTTACTTACTAACAACTCCTTACTTACTAACAACTTCTTACTTACTAACAACTCCTTACTTGCTAACAACTCCTTACTTACAAGTCCTTACTTACTAACAACTCCTTACTTACTAATAAGTCCTTACTTACTAACAACTCCTTGCTTACTAACAAGTCCTTACTAACAACTCCTTACTTACTAGCAACTCCTTACCAACAAGTCCCTACTTACTAACAAGTCCTTACTTACTTACAACTCCTTACTTACTAACAAGTCCTTACTTACTAACAACTCCTTGCTTACTAACAAGTCCTTGCTAACAACTCCTTGCTTACTAACAACTCCTTACTTACCAACTACTCCTTACTTGCTAACAACTCCTTACTTACTAACAACTCCTTACTAACAACTCCTTACTTACTAACAACTCCTTACTTACTAACAACACCTTACTTACAACTCCTTGCTTACTAACAACTCCTTATTTACTAACAACTCCTTACTTACTAACAACTCCTTACTTACTAACAACTCCTCACTCACTAACCACTCCTTACTCACTAACAACTCCTTACTTACTTACAACTCCTTGCTTACTAACAACTCCTTACTTACCAACTACTCCTTACTTACTAACAACTCCTTACTTACTAACAACTCCTTGCTTACTAACAACTCCTTACTTACCAACTACTCCTTACTTACTAACAACTCCTTACTTACTAACAACTCCTTACTTACTAACAACTCCTCTATCATTTCTCATTGCTGGAAGGGTTGCCCCCCCTACCTGAAACTCCTGGCTCCGCCATTGATTCTCGTGCAGAACTCCTGCAGGACCAACAGCGTTTTAAGGAAATGGCGTTATAAGGATGCACCCTGTAGAATCCGTTCTCCTATAGCGCCGCGTGTCGTTTTCGTAACGCGGATTGATACAACGCGATGAATGTATTGGGGAACGCAATTTTTTCGTAAAGCGGATGCGGATTGGACATGTAACGCGATTCGAGTGAATGGAGCTACGTCGCGCAAGTAGGAATAAGTGGTTGTGCGGTTGCCTTGGCATACCATCACACAACAAGGCAGAATGCTGCTGGGTGGTTCTAGATCAGTGGTTCTTAACCTGGGTTCGATCGAACCCCAGGGGTTCGGTCAGTCGATCTCAGGGGTTCGGCAGAGCCCCCGCCACGGAGGTCCGGACACACTTGAATTATTGTGTAAATTTGTGATGACACACACGGCCCGCTTGGCCATCACTGGCTGCAGATGATCATGCTACACTGCTTGGCCAATCAGCGCTGCGGGGAATTTAGTGCATACTCAGTAGTCAACGTGTGACTGTTGTTGTCGTACGTCGTGTGATTTCTTTAATATTTTATCCATACTATGTCGGGCAAAAGAAGAAAGTGGTCGGACGAATATGTACAACATGGATTCTCATGTATCACGGAACGTGATGGGAGTGAGCGTCCTATCTGCATGATTTGCAACGCCAAGTTGAGCAACTCTAGTCTTGCACCGGCAAAACTAAAGGAACACTTCTTGAAGCTGCATGGAGACGGGGAATACAAGAACACAACACTTGCTGAATTCAGGGTGAAGAGAGCCAGATTCGATGAAAGGGCCACTCTGCCTGCTCTTGGATTTGTACCTGTTAACAAACCGATCCTGACAGCATCGTACGAAGTTGCTTACCTGATCGCAAAGCAGGGCAAGCCACACACCATTGGTGAAACACTTGTGAAACCAGCTGCATTAAATATGGCGAATCTGATACTCGGAACAGCGGCCGAAGGTAAATTATCCCAAATTCCCCTTTCAAATGACACCGTCAGTGACAGAATAGAAGACATGAGTAAAGACATCTTGGCTCAAGTAGTCGCGGATCTGATTTCAAGCCCGGCAAAATTCAGCCTTCAACTCGACGAAACCACAGACGTTTCTGATCTACGCCAGCTTGCTGTTTTTGTACGCTATGTGAAAGACGACATGATAAAAGAAGAATTTTTATTTTGTAAGCCTCTTACAACAACAACGAAGGCAGCCGATGTGAAGAAGCTTGTGGATGACTTCTTCAGAGACAACAATCTTTCATGGGATATGGTTTCTGCAGTTTGTACGGACGGAGCTCCAGTCATGCTGGGAAGAAAGTCTGGTTTTGGTGCGCTAGTAAAGGCCGATGCACCACACATCATTGTGACGCATTGTATTCTGCACAGGCATGCGTTGGCAACAAAAACCTTACCTCCAAAAATGGCAGAAGTATTAAAAACTGTGGTGGAATGTGTGAACTATGTGCGAAAAGTGCTCTGAGGCACCGCATCTTCAGTGAGCTGTGTAAAGAAATGGGCTCTGAATTTGAGGTACTTCTGCTCCATTCTAATATTCGGTGGTTATCCCGGGGACAGGTGCTGAATCGTGTTTTTGCCATGCGTGTGGAATTAGCCCTGTTTTTGCAAGAGCACCAAAACTGCCATGCAGATTGCTTCAAAAATCCTGAGTTCATTCTCATTTTAGCGTACATGGCTGATATATTCGCAGCTCTCAATCATCTCAATCAGCAGATGCAGGGTGGTGGAGTCAATATCATGGAAGCGGAAGAACACCTGAAGGCTTTTCAAAAAAAGCTACCGTTATGGAAACGACGAACAGAGAACAATAACTTCGCAAACTTCCCGCTTCTGGACGACTGTGCAAGTAAGATCGAAGATGTGTCTGGAATCGGAGATATTTCTGTATCCACGGAACTGAAGCAAACAATTGCCACGCACTTAGATGAGCTTGCAAAGTCTCTCGACGGATATTTCCCTACAAGAGAGTCATATCCAGCATGGGTGAGACAGCCGTTCACGTTTGCTGTTGAAACAGCAGATGTCAATGATGAATTCCTCGACGAAATCATTGAAATTCAGCAGAGCCAGGTTCAACAGCAACTCTTCAGAACAACAACGCTCTCAACGTTTTGGTGTCGACAAATGAACAAGTATCCAGTTATTGCTAAGAAAGCCCTGGATTTTTTTATACCATTTGTTACAACATATCTTTGTGAGCAATCCTTTTCGAGGATGCTGGACATAAAAACGAAGAAAAGGAACAGACTTTGCTGTGAAAATGACATGAGAGTGGCACTTGCCAAGGTGAAGCCACGCATATCTGAACTGATCTCTCAAAGGCAACAGCAGAAGTCACATTGATTTCCAGGTATGTAATTTGTTGTGAGTTTATGCATTGTGTTGGTTTTATTCTTTGAACAAGGTAATGTTCATGCACGGCTCATTTTGTGTACCAGTAAAAAACATATCTATGTCTTGAATTTGAAAAAAATCACATTTTATTTTTCACTAAAGAGGGGTTCGGTGAATGCGCATATGAAACTGGTGGGGTTCGGTACCTCCAACAAGGTTAAGAACCACTGTTCTAGATGCTACCTTGCATCACACAACAAGGCATTGGGATGCTGCTGGATGCTTCTAAATGCTACCTAGCATCACACAACAAGGCATTGAGATGCTGCTGGGTGGTTCTAGATGCTACCTTGCATCACACAACAAAGCATTGGGATGCTGCTGGATGCTTCTAAATGCTACCTAGCATCACACAAGGTATACTTCAGGAACGCGACTACTACAGTGTTACAGGAGAACCGGCTGTGTATGAAAAACACCAATTTTCTTAAATTCCCCCCACCCTGCCTCTGTCGATCGGAACGTCGTTCGTATTTGTACGTCGCATGGAATTAATTTATGTTGACACCTTTCAGCCACTACATTTGCCACACAGTAACATATATATAATTATTCCTGAATCGAATTATGAGTCGTGTAACGTTCGTGCCTCTACTGGGCATCTGTTGGGAAAAAAAGCTTTGCAGCTCATCGGATTCCTCCAGTATTAACAAATATTCGGATTCAATGAATCGTCAGCAGCTGTAAAGTAAATGACAAATTTCACTAATCTCAATTAAAAATAAAGTCTCAATGCTATTTTATTTTCCAACCCATTATGATCATAATCTCACTCTTATTCCCAACCAAATCCCTAAATATGACCCACACCCAATCCCCACTTACACGTCTAACAGTGCCCTCAACTCCGTTGCCAATTCCCATATTGTGGCGTATTGGCGGTACCCCGGTGCAGCATAACACAACCGGTCCTTATAACACAGTTCTAAAATCTAGATTTGAATCGGCAAATCAGTTATTTTAATCAGTCTTGAATCGCCCGTGTCGCCAAATTTAACGCAATTCGGAGGCTTATTCAGTCAACTGAGACTTGCTAAAAAGGGTCAATGTTGACCGTTGATTTGGGGTCTCTTTGCATCGAGGAACCGTCCGACCAAGTCTAGGGCACGAGCAGTCAAAGTTGGAACACGGAGCCAGCCAATCGTCACCAGGCTGGGTGCTGCTGCTCAACGGCATCAGCCGGTGAAGAAGCTTCTTCGTGTTCAGCCGCTCGTGTGAACGTTCCGTCACTCGACCGGTTCGACATCACGAGAACCGATGTTGACGCACCACCAGCATCCCGCAAGACTTTCTGACCGGGGTTGCGAATCGCAGGAAAATAAATAATTATTGCGATGTTTTTGTTTGTTTAAAGACCATGGCACCACCGGTGTACCGCCGATTACGTTAATTGATAAATGCCTCATCCCAAACCCCCCCCCCCCCCTTGCTCCACCCCCCAAGAGTCCCCTGCGTGAGTCCCTGTCGGGCGTTCCGGGCGCGTCGGGGATGCTCATGACGACGTGCCTGGTGCTCATCGCCACGTCGTCGCGGGAGAGCGTGCGCCGGGCCAACTACGAGATATTCTGGTTCACGCACCTCCTCGCTCCCGTGCTGTACGCGGGCCTCCTCGTCCACGGGCTCGGGTGAGCTCTCGTCGGCCGGCGAGTCCGGACTCTAACCGTTCACCCCGACTACATAAGGACAACATATTGAGCAAATGCTTTGCTACATGTGACTGTCGTGCAGTTAGAGCGCCAGCTTTGGAAGTGAATAAATACGCTTCGTTAATATTATGGTGAGGAGCACAGAGGCTCAACATAGAGGAAGGGGCTCTCTTGATTCTCACAGTCTCGGCCGCCAGTTTGTCCTCCTCATTCTGTCTCCCTGGCCCCTCCTTTCAACTCGTCCCTCCTCGCCTCCTCCTTCTGACACATCCCCACCCCTGTCCATGGATGTGATGACAGCTGTGCTATCTTATGCTACATACACACAAAGGGTGTTTCAAAAAGTGTTAACACTTATATGGGTCTATCGTTTTTAATGGAAAAAGAAGGAATAATACGCTGTAACATGACAACAAGTGGATGTTAATACCTTCAAAAAGCCTAAGAGTATCCACTTGTTCGCCATCGTTGTCAACGCGTGCCTGGAATCTTCTCCAGATGGTCTCCAAATTCTCAGCCAGGTGAGAATTCAGCAGCAACCAGGATGAGTCTCATTTGCAAGAGTGACCTGGGGGGAATGGTGCTACTACTGGTGGTGCTGCTACTGGTGGTGCTACTGGTGGTGCTGCTGCTACTTGTGCTATTGCTGTGCTGCTGGTGCTGCTACTACTGGTGGTGCTGCTGGTGGTGCTGGTGCTGCTGCTACTGGTACTGCTATTGCTGTGCTGCTGGTGCTGCTACTGCTGGTGCTACTGGTGGTGTTGGTGCTGCTACTGGTGCTGCTATTGCTGTGCTGCTGATGCTGCTACTGCTGCTACTGGTGGCGTTGGTGCTGCTACTGGTGGTGTTGGTGCTGCTACTGGTGCTGCTACTGCTGGTGCTGCTACTGGTGGTGTTGGTGCTGCTACTGGTGCTGCTATTGCTGTGCTGCTGATGCTGCTAACTGCTGGTGCTGCTACTGGTGCTGCTGCTGCTAACTGCTGGTGCTGCTATTGCTGTGCTGCTGGTGCTGCTACTGCTGGTGCTGCTGCTGGTGGTGTTGGTGCTGCTACTGGTGCTGCTATTACTGTGCTGCTGATGCTGCTAACTGCTGGTGCTGCTACTGGTGCTGCTGCTAACTGCTGGTGCTGCTATTGCTGTGCTACTGGTGCTGCTGTTGTTCCTGCTGGTGCTGCTCCTGCTGGTGCTGCTGTTGTTCCTGCTGTTCCTGCTGGTGCTGCTGTTGCAGGCGAGTGGTGCGTGGCCAGACGGAGGCCAGCCTGCAGGAACACAACATCACGTGGTGCTACGCCCGGCACGAGCAGTGGGGGGGGCGAGAGGCCGCGTGTCCCACACCGCAGTTCAGCGGCAACCCTCCCATGGTGAGGCAGCCAGCATCAGCAGCTTCGCCTTCATCGTCAGTGTCATCGGCAGTGTCATCGTCATCGTCAGTGTCATCATCAGTGTCATCAGTGTCATCATCAGTGTCATCGTCAGTGTCATCGTCAGTGTCATCAGTGTCATCGTCAGTGTCATCAGTGTCATCGTCAGTGTCATCGGCAGTGTTATCGGCAGTGTCATCAGCAGTGTCATCGTCATCATAATCAATATCATCATCAGTATCATCAGCAGTAGCACCATCAGTGTCATCGTCAGTGTCATCAGCAGTGTCATCAGCAGTGTAATCAGCAGTGTCATCAGCAGTGTCATGGACAGTGTCATCAGCAGTGTCATCGTCAGTGTCATCAGCAGTGTCATCGTCATCATAATCAATATCATCGTCAGTATCATCAGCAGTAGCACCATCAGTGTCATCATCAGTGTCATCATCAGTTTGGTCGTTATCATCATCATCGTCAGTGTCATCATCAGTACCACCATCATAATCAGAATCATCAGCAAAAGCAGGATCAGTGCAATAATCACCAGCATCCGCTTGCAGCATCATAAGCAGCAGCAGAAACAAACCACTACAGTATTCCGATCAGTGAACATCATCATCATTCCCTCAGTCAACATCACCATCAAAGACAAATATCCCCCGTATAACATTCACAGACTGTTGGGGCAAGTGCTGTTTGCGAGTAGCGCCACCTATGAAGGCCGGCACGGCACACGAGGGGGTGGGCGGCCCACACCACACCCGGCCGCCTTTGCCTCCCCAGTGGCGATGTTTACTACACACCGCACCAGGTTACTCACTTGAGGCCGAGCCGACCTAGGGGAGGGCGTGGCGCTAGCCGCAGCACCACCGCTCCCCACCACCACCATCACCACCATCATCACCAACATCACTACCACCATCATCACCACCATCACCACCACCAAACCACCTCGGCTCCCGTTCAGCACGTGCGGCGCCCACCTACAGCACACCAGAGGCGCTGGCTGCGTTCTTGTGTCCCACAGACGTGGCGCTGGCTGCTGCTCCCGCTGCTGTTGTACGCGGGCGAACAGCTGTTGCGCTGCTATTGCTGCTGTCACCCGACGGTCGTGACCAAGGTAACAAGTTTCCCTCTCGTTCCCCGTGCGCCTGCCCTTCAGAAGCATAGCTGCCATACCTCCCACGACACCCCGCATGTTGTACCTGTGCGCTCTGCAGGTGGGCTATATACACACACGCTGTGCTGTGCAGGTGTGATGCATGTGCAATGTGCAGGTGTGATGTACCTGTGTTGTACAGGTGTGATGTACCTGTGTTGTACAGGTGTGCTGTACCTGTGTTGTGCAGGTGTTATGTACCTGTGTTGTACAGGTATGCTGTACCTGTGTTGTACAGGTGCGCTGTGCCTGTGTTGTACTGGTGTGATGTACCTCTGTTGTACAGGTGTGATGTATGTGTACTTTGCAGGTGTGCTGTACCTGTGTTGTACAGGTGTGCTGTACCTGTGTTGTACAGGTGTGCTGTACCTGTGTTGTACAGGTGTGATGTACCTGTGTTGTGCAGGTGTGCTGTACCTGTGTTGTACAGGTGTGCTGTACCTGTGTTGTACAGGTGTGATGTACCTGTGTTGTGCAGGTGTGCTGTGCCTGTGTTGTACAGGTGTGAGGTACCTGTATTGTACAGATGTGATGTACCTGTGTTGTACAGGTGTGATGTATGTGTACTTTGCAGGTGTGCTGTACCTGTGTTGTACAGGTATGCTGTACCTGTGTTGTACAGGTGTGCTGTACCTGTGTTGTACAGGTGTGCTGTACCTGTGTTGTACGGGTGTGCTGTGCCTGTGTTGTACAGGTGTGCTGTACCTGTGTTGTACAGGTGTGCTGTACCTGTGTTGTACAGGTGTGCTATACCTGTGTTTACAGGTGTGATGCACCTGTGTTGTACAGGTGTGATGTACCTGTGTTGTGCAGGTGTGCTGTACCTGTGTTGTACAGGTGTGCTGTACCTGTGTTGTACAGGTGTGATGTACCTGTGTTGTGCAGGTGTGCTGTGCCTGTGTTGTACAGGTGTGAGGTACCTGTATTGTACAGATGTGATGTACCTGTGTTGTACAGGTGTGATGTATGTGTACTTTGCAGGTGTGCTGTACCTGTGTTGTACAGGTGTGCTGTACCTGTGTTGTACAGGTGTGCTGTACCTGTGTTGTACAGGTGTGCTGTACCTGTGTTGTACAGGTGTGATGTACCTGTGTTGTACAGGTGTGCTATACCTGTGTTGTACAGATGTGATGTATGTGTACTTTGGAAGTGTGCTGTACGTCTTAACTACCTCGCCTGGTATACAGGAGGTCGTGGGTTCAATCCCGACCCTGACGTCTGCTGCTGTATATTTGGAGTTTTCGTGTCTCTCTCTCTCCCTGGTCGCGTGGATTTTTATTCGGATCATCCGGTTTTCCCCTCCACATTTAGAATCAACAACACGTGTCTAGAGTATGTGCCTGCTCTACGTTTCCACACGATGGTGTGTAAATCATTCGTGATAGCCAGGTCGCTTCTGAAAAAAAGAGCTACATAGCTCCAGCGGTCCTTACCTGGTAAGATGAACACAAATATTCAGAGTTTACTCTTGTAAACAACGTCAGGGGATCATGGACGCGGTATCGCTGTAACGGTGAACACAAAACAGCACCACCAGAGGAGTGGCTGTGGCTCAGCGACAAGCCGTGTGGATGTGTCACCACGAGGCCTCCTGGCAGCCAAGCGGCAGGAGGAGCAGCAGCATCATTGAAGCAAAGCTGTAAACCCCTTATCGGTGCCCTACCTTGTTACAGGCCAATTCGGACCTTACTGCTCACCCCCGTGCCCCTTATACATCTCAACGTTCATCCTACAAAGGCCCATCGCAAGGGAGAGAAACAGAGACAATTATTCGTGTTACCAGTGCCGGATTATCCCGGTAGCAAAGTCGTATAAGTAGCTACGTAAGATGCTACGTAAGTAATAGCTGCGGGCCCCGCACTTTCAGGGGCCCCGCGCTCAATGCTTTCAAGCTATCAATTCCGGTTCAGTGATTCTGCACTTGCTCTATTACTATAGTACTATGCTGCCTTCAACTTTTATGAATGACTGGGTGTTTAAGGTTAGCGATTTTGTCGTATTATTTGGCTGTTTAGCAAATGAAAAAATACAATCACGTTACTATGCAAGTTAACCATTTATGTGTTTTAATATGTACGTTTTTTTTTATTTAGGGCCCCTTTGTAACAAATGAACCTTATGGCGATACCCCAGGGCACCATAGCACCCTGGCTCTCGCACAATGTCCGTGATGCAGTCATTCTTAGTCTGTTGATGGTCGGCGAAGCGGCCATCGACTCATCTGGACGAGCTGTGCACGATGCACCACCACTACGGTGCGTGCGTGCGAGCGTTCAGGGTCTCAGCGCAATCATCGTCCTCGCTGCGTGTCGACATCGCGGGGTGGCACCGACTTCGGACTGCTGGGTTACCCCAGGCACGGAGTGAAGTACACCGCTGGACAAAAATAGTGTCCCAGAAATAAAATATTTAATTGCCTCGGCCAGTTTGTGTTATTGAGTACCCCGGAGTACCGCCATAAGGAGCACGTGCTACAGGACCAGCACTAGCTTCGTCCGGCACTGTGCTACCCGGTACAAGAATACGGGGCAACCCGTATGGGTTAGTAGGTAGTTGTGTAGTGTATGGTGTAGTGTATAGTATCGTAGTGTTTAATAGTGTAGTGTTTATTGCAGTGTATAGTAGTGTAGTGTTTAGTAGATTAGTGTAGTGTCGTGTATAGTCATGTATAGTATACCTGTCAACTCCTCATCAATGCCTAGCTTGTTACAGACCAATTCAGACCGTATTGGTCACCCCAGCAGCTAACAGCAGCACCAGCAGGATCCGAACAACCGGGTCGGGACTGAGCCACCACGTGGTAGCCTCACCCCCTTCACCACCACGTGGCAGCCTCACCCCCTTCACCACCACGTGGCAGCCTCACCCCCTTCACCACCACGTGGCAGCCTCACCCCCTTCACCACCACGTGGCAGCCTCACCCCCTTCACCACCACGTGGCAACCTCGCTCCCTTCACCACCACGTGGCAGCGTCGCCCCCTTCACCACCACGTGGCAGCCTCACCCCCTTCCCCCCCTTCACCCCCCCCCCCCAGGTGCGCGAGCACCCGGGTCACGTGCTGGAGGTGCGCGTGCTGGGCTGCCCGGCGCGCGCGCGCCCCGGCGACCACGTGCTCGTGCGCTGCGCCTCCGTGTCGCGCGCACAGTGGCACGCGCTCACGCTCACGTGGGTGGGGCGGGGCGGGGGAGGGGCGGTGGGGGCCGGGGGAGGGGAGGGGGCGGGGAGCCTGCACGTGCACGCGGATGGCGACTGGACGCGCGCGTTGCTAAGACGATGCGCGCGCGCTGGGGGCAGAGAGCCCCCCAGGTTGATTACGTCACAAAGAACAACCACAATAAACAATAACAAACAACATTGAGAGTTATCACTGGAGTGTTGATAAGGGCATAACAACAACAACAACCGTTAACATAAACCCTGACAACAACAGGGTAACTTAGGAGCGTCAACATCGACAACAGCATCAAGGATAAACAAGATGGGTAAAAACAGTTTGCGCCAACGATATCAAAATCAACATTGACATCTAGTAAAATACCATTAACATTAAAACATATCTCAACGCTAACATATAACATTACCTTTATAACATCAACATGCCGTTCACAGTACATAACGGTGACGCGTTCATCGCACGTTAATAAACCAAATGATAATTAGTGTACAAAACTAAGATAAATACTCGTCACAGTTTAAGAATTGTGGGTCGCGGCAAGTTTAGAAAGAGACACCAGACCATGTGCAGGGATCTCACCGTTCAGTCCAAATGCCAAAGATTCCCACCAGCCAAACTAAAGCAACTTATCAGATATCTCATAGGGCACCGCGGTGCCTAGGAGATGTTAACTACCTCGCCTGGTATACAGGAGGGCGTGGGTTCGATCCCGACCCTGACGCCTGCTGCTGTATATTTGGAGTTTGCGTGTCTCTCATCATCATCACGGTGGCTAGGAGATGTTAACTACCTCGCCTGGTATACAGGAGGGCGTGGGTTCGATCCCGAACCTGATGCCTGCTGCTGTATATTTGGAGTTTGCGGTGTCTCTCTCTCTCCCCGTGGTCGCGTGGATTTGTCTCCGGCTCCTCCGGGTTTTGCCTCCACAAGTAGAAACAACAACACGCGTTTAGAGCGCTTGGCTGCTTACATTTTCACACAACAAGCCACTTCGTGGGGCTATCGTTTGTGGCCAGGACACTTCTGTAAAAGAGCTACATAGCTCAGTGGGCCTTACCTGGTACTATTAAAAACACACTTTAGTTTTTTTCACTTTTACAGGTAACACATCTCAGCACAGCAAAACCCACCCCGAACACAGATGCCAATTCCCGTCTTGGGGTGCCAACCCTGGGCAGGTTGGCCCACCGTGATCACAGCCGCACACGGGCTGTCTGCGTGGTGGGACTCCTGCCACGCCCGGCGGCTCACACCGTGCACCCCCCACCCCGCGTGGCCCAGGCTCTGCGTGGATGGCCCCTTCGTGGGGCCCTCGCGGGACGTGGATCGCTACCCCGTGAGCGTGCTCATTGCCGCGGGGATCGGCATCACCCCCTTCGCGGCATACCTGGGCTCCTGGCTCACGGGGGCACCCCGGCACACCACGGTGGTCGCACGTTCATTTAAACTTTGGATTTGAGATGTGCGCTGTCGCGACTGGGTGTCATGGTTACATTATTTTGTTTCAGATTCAGATTATTTATTTATACTGGAGAATATCCGATGAGCTATAAAGCTCTTTTTTTTCACAGACATCCAGTAAGGGCATGGGGTAAGAGAACGTTACAACAACGAACACAGTCCAAAAAACACGATCGGAGTGCAAAGTAGTAAAATGCGTCAGAAACCCTCGACCCGACACAGCTAACTCGTGAAGTTGCCACGGCCCAAGACTGGAGGAATTTTTTTGCACGTTTTTGGCAACTGCCTGACGATACTGGCTGTAACGTACTGACGAAACGTCGGACTTCCCAATCGTTAATTGCGTGCGCATCGTTCTGCGCCAACAAGGCTGCGTTAGCGCTGCCGGAGCAGCACTTGTGACGATTATTCACCACGTGACAACTTTGTTCGTTGGCTGTGTCGGGTGGAAGGGGGCTTACGGCACAAACATAGACTGGCGCTACCAGTGACGCCATGCGGTTCAATTTATTGAGACATTCTTTGGGTCTTTCGGTAAAGTCACGTAGATAGGTTCAAAGAAAATAACAAAAATAATAAATTTGTTATTTTATCTTCTTTGGTTCTTTCGGTAAAGTCACGTAGAATGAGAATAAAATAATAAATTGATAAAATAACACAATAATATTCTCACGACGTTTCGGCCACAACACAAGCGGCCTTCATCAGGTGAAGGGACGAGACTGTCTGGTAGGACAGCGCTGGAGTGAAAAAGCCGCGCTCAGATCACGACCTTTACGCCTCAACTTTAGCTTAAAGGTCGTGATCTGAGCGTGGCTTTTTCACTCCAGCGCTGTCCTACCAGACAGTCTCGTCCCTTCACCTGATGAAGGCCGCTTGTGTTGTGGCCGAAACGTCGTGAGAATATTATTGTGTTATTTTATTTTATCAATTTATTATTTTTATTCTCATTCTACGTGACTTTACCGAAAGAACCAAAGAAGATGAATCCTTGCAGTCACGAAAGCTTTAAATCGAAATTGTTATTTTATTTGAACATATCTACGTGACTTTAGCGAAAGATCCGAAGAATATGAATGCCTGCAGTCACGAAAGCTTTAAGTCAATATTTATTGAGACAATTAGTGTAAAAAAATTATAGCGCACCTGGTCACAGGTAAGTAGGTGGTAGTCAGTTGGAATAATTACATACCTGTGTGTGTAGGCCTTAAAACTTGGTGGTACAGGCTATGTGTGTGTGTAAGTGGGTGCAGGCTATGTGTGTGTGTAAGTGGGTGCAGGCTATGTGTGTGTGTAAGTGGGTGCAGGCTATGTGTGTGTGTAAGTGGGTGCAGGCTATGTGTGTGTGTAAGTGGGTGCAGGCTATGTGTGTGTGTAAGTGGGTGCAGGCTATGTGTGTGTGTAAGTGGGTGCAGGCTATGTGTGTGTGTAAGTGGGTGCAGGCTATGTGTGTGTGTGTAAGTGGGTGCAGGCTATGTTTGTGTAAGTGGGTGCAGGCTATGTGTGCGAGTGGGAAACGGTAGTGCAGCGGTTAGCGTGCTGCGCCACGAACCCGGCGACCCGAGTTCGATTCCCGCTCACGGTCGATACCAGCGACGATTATTTGAACCGGTCCTTGGCCTCCCCTAGGTCGACTCAGCCTCAAATTAGTACCCGGTGTGTAGTAAGCATCGCCACTGGGGAGACAAAGTTGTGCCGTGCGGCGTCGTGCTGGCCACCCACCCCCTCTTGTGCCGAGCCGGCCTTCATTGATGCTGCTCGCTAACAGCACTTGCCCCAACAGTCTGTTAAGGGGGATCTCTGTGTCCGATACAGGTGTACCTGTATTGGATATGCCGGGAGCCGTCTTCCTTCGCCTGGCTCTGCGAGCCCCTGCGATCTCTGGAGAGACATCTCATGGAGACCGGGAGCAGCCACCAGCTCCGCTACAAACTCTACCTCACCCGCTGGGACGAGACACAGGTGGCCGGGCCGTGCCAGGCTAGGTGCACCCAACGGCACGATCTCTGCCACGCCAAACCTGACAATTAATCAGCCCCAACTGAAGACACTGCTCCTGAATCCCATTCTCAAAGCGCCGATCCTGCAACCCGATCTCAAGACATCGATCATGGCCATCCTGTCTCCCGCAGCTAATTTGCAAGAGACTTGCGCAGATGAATCGGCCTCCTTGTGTTACAAGAAGGTAAAGGTGAAGCCCTGCAAGCTCTCACTCGTGCCTTCACTCGAGGAAGCTTCAGAGAGCCACGCTTGCATCCCTTTGGTTCTCGATGGTTAAACGTGAAATGTTAATAACTACGTAGGGTTTGGTGAAACAAAGTAAGTTGTAACTTACGTGCCCGTAATTAATTTGCGTTCTCGATTATTTTACCTTCAAAAAAAATCTGACAAGGGGTTGCGTACAACCCAGGTTAAGAAACACTGCACTATACACTACACTATACACTACACACTACACTATACACTACTATACATTACACTATACACTACACTATACACTACACTATACACTACCATACACTACACTATACACTACACTATACACTACACTATACACTACTGTACATTACACTATACACTACTGTACATTACACTATACACTACTGTACATTACACTATACACTACTGTACATTACACTATACACTACTGTACATTACACTATACACTACACTATACACTACACTATACACTACTATACATTACACTATACACTACACTACACTATACACTACTATACACTATACACTACACTATACACTACACTATACATTACTATACATTACACTATACACTACACTATACACTACACTATACACTATACACTACACTATACACTACTGTACATTACACTATACACTACACTATACACTACTGTACATTACACTATACACTACACTATACACTACACTATACACTACTATACATTACACTATACACTACACTATACACTACACTATACACTACACTATACACTACTGTACATTACACTATACACTACACTATACACTAAACTATACACTACTTACATTACACTATACACTACACTATACACTACTATACATTACACTATACACTACACTATACACTACACTATACACTACTGTACATTACACTATACACTACACTATACACTACTATACATTACACTATACACTACACTATACACTACACTATACACTACACTACACTATACACTACTGTACATTACACTATACACTACACTATACACTACTATACATTACACTATACACTACACTATACACTACACTATACACTACTGTACATTACACTATACACTACACTATACACTACACTATACACTACTATACATTACACTATACACGACTGTACATTACACTATACACTACACTATACACTACTATACATAACACTACACTATACACTACACTGTACACTACACTATACACTACTATACATTACACTATACACTACACTATACAATACATTACTGCATACTACTATACACTACACTATACACTACTATACATTACACTATACACTACATTACTACATACTACTATACACTACACTATACACTACACTATACACTTCACTATACACTACTATACACTACACTATACACTATTATACACTATACATTACACTATACACTACTATACACTACACTACTATACACTACACTACTAAACACTACTCTACATTACACTATACACTCCTATACACTATACACTACTATACACTACACTACTATACATTACACTATACACTATTATACACTACTCTACACTATACACTACTATACACTACACTACTATACACTATACACTACTCTACACTATACACTACACTACTATACTCGTCTACCCCGCTGGCTAGAGGCGGCAATACCCACGCTTTACCCCACCTCTCTCGATTTACCGATTAATTTTAACTGTGGTAAAAAAAACATTGATACTGTGGGGGGCGAACAAAGGCGGTTGGATTTAAGAAACTTCCCCCCCCCCCCCACACCGCATTGTTTGAATTGTCGCGTCCGGAGATGGAATTGGAGACGGGTGAACTCGTGGCCTGCAAGTCCAGCCCAGTGCCCCTTGACCGTGACACCTCGCTGGCGTGTTGAGAAATGTTTAACCCTCTGTTGCCCCGCACCGCGCACAGGCCGTTCACATCGCCCTTCACTGGGACGAGGCAGAGGACACCATCACGGGGCTGAGGCAGAAGACATGGTTCGGACGTCCGAACTGGAGCGTCGAGCTGGATCAGATTGCCCGCGCGCACCCAGGGTGAGAGACTTCCGACCGGGATCGGAGCTCGTCAAACTCTCCAGTCGAACTGCCCATCCGCTCTCAAGGCTCCTCAAGATGAATCCCATTCCGTGTCAACCCACACGGTTTACACCCCGTGTTCTTGTACAGGGAAAGTGAGCTTTCAGATCCATAGGGCGTACAGCCGCTTCAATACGGGAATTTTTTTGTCTATTTGTGTTTCTCCCTTGTGATGGGACTTTGTAGGATGAACGTTGAGATTTATAAGGCGCACGGGGTGACCAGTAAGGTCTGTAATAAGGTAGGGCACTGATAAGGGGTTGACATATATGTAGTGTATAGTAGTGGTGTATCGTAGCAGTATAGTAGCAGAGATTGGCTGGTGGCTCAGAGATTAGGATATGGACACCACGCTGTGTTCAAACCTTTATTTAGCTGGCCGTGATTAAATCCGTTTTGTTTTAAGATCTAACTTATTACCCATGGAGTATTGTGTGCGGGGAGCGATAGTACGGTGGGTTGCGCACTCACTACGAACCCGGCGACCTGGGTTCGATTCTGGGCCACGGCTAAACTGTGCTGGGCCTCTCCTAGATAGACTCAGTCGTAAATGAGTACCTGGTGCGATGTGCAAACATCAGCGCTGTTGTGGAGACAAAGGCGGCCGAGCGTGTTGCTGGCTACGCCCTCCCTCGTGTGCCGTACCAGTGATCACGTGCTCGTTAACAGTAATGGCCCTGACTGCTAAAGGCTACCTGTGGGATAATAAACTAAACTCAACAATTTTTTTTATTTTACCAGTTAATGCCCATTGAGCTATTAGGATCTTTTTCAGAAGCGACCTGGCCACAAATGATAGCTCAACAAAGTGGCTCATCGTGTGGAAATTTTCAGCAGTCAAATTCTCTAAACGTGTGATGTTGCTTCTGAATATGGAGGGAAAAACCAGAGGGCCCCGGAGAAAAATTCATGCGACCACGGGGAAACAGAGACATGCAAACTCCAAATATACATCCATAAGATACGTTTTTTTGGGTTAGATCGCGTAAATATATAAATGTGTCGTTAAAACCCGCCACCACCCGACACAGCCAACTAGTAAGGGTTGTCACGTAAACAGAACGTGCCAATTCGTCACTAGTACAGCACACCGGTGTGTTGGAGAGCCAAGCCACAACATTTACAATCTGAGTACAACGTTTCGCCAGTAATTACAACTAGCTTTATCAGGCGACAGCCAGATTTGTGGAGAAGGATGACTGTTTCGTTCCTTATATAGAGGCATTGATGTGGTGACCACGCTTCTGCGCTCTTACGCCAAGTGGGGGGTGGGATTACTGAGTCAACATACATGATGCATGTGCACTATGCGAGCCCTTTGATCTTAACGACACATTTATATATTTACGCGATCTTACCCAAAAAAACCTCTATTATGGATGATATTGGTCGTGAAAATATACAACTGGGTGTCTGGCTCAGGATCGAACCCACGACCTCTTGCATATCAGACGAGGGGGGTAATACCTCGCCACCGTAGTGCCCCAAGACGTTCAGGTGTTAAGATGTCCATCATGTTGATACCAGAAAGAAGCCCCCCCCCCCCATACCTGGGGACCTCTGTGTGTATGCGTGTGTGCAGGGTGGAAACGCGGAGTAGTGGCGTAGCAGTTAGCACGCTGCGCTAGGAACCTGACGAACTGGGTTCGATTCCTGGTTCGCCAGTGATGATTCCCTGAACCGGTTCTGGGCCACCCCGAAGCCTCAATTGAGTAATCTGGTGCGGTGTGTAAACATCGCTACTGGGGAGACAAAGGCGGCCGGGCGTGGTGCCCTTGCGTGCCGTGTCGGCGTTGTTAGGTGCTCGCTTACAGCACTTTCCCCAACAGTCTGTTACAGACTATACGGGGGGTCTTTGTCTTTGTGTACAGGGTGGAGGTCGGAGTGTTCGCGTGTGGACCCCGGTCCCTGTGCGAGGGCGTTCGTCGACGCTGCTCTCGCTACTGCAGCGCGGGGCCGGACGGGGCGGCCTTCAGGTTCCACCAGGAGGCGGACTGACAGAGCCAAGCCCTACACAGCGTGTCTCGTGCACCTACCAGCTATCATCACAACAGCCTATCTCAACCAACAGCTATCATCACAATGTCCTGTCTCAACCAACAGCTGTCATCACAACAGCCTATCTCAACCAACAGCTATCATCACAACATCCTGTCTCAACCAACAGCTGTCATCACAACAACCTGTCTCAACCAACAGCTATCATCCCAACAGCCTATCTTAACCAACAGCTGTCATCACAACAGCCTGTCTTAACCAACAGCTGTCATCCCAACAGCCTATCTCAACCAACAGCTGTCATCACAACATCCTGCCACAACCAACAGCTGTCATCACAACATCCTGTCTCAACCAACAGCTGTCATCCCAACAGCCTATCTCAACCAACAGCTGTCATCACAACAACCTGTCTCAATCAACAGCCATCATCACAACAGCCTATCTCAACCAACAGCTGCCATCCCAATAACCTGTCTCAACCAACAGCTGTCATCACAACAACCTGTCTCAACCAACAGCTATCATCCCAACATCCTGTCTCAACCAACAGCTATCATCACAACAGCCTATCTCAACCAACAGCTGTCATCCCAACATCCTGTCTCAACCAACAGCTATCATCACAACAGCCTATCTCAACCAACAGCTGTCATCCCAATAACTTGTCTCAACCAACAGCTGTCATCACAACAACCTGTCTCAACCAACAGCTATCATCACAACAACCTGTCTCAACTAACAGCTATCATCCCAACAGGCTGTCTCAACCAACAGCTGTCATCCCAACATCCTGTCTCAACCAACAGCTATCATCACAACAGCCTGTCTCAACAAACAGCTGTCATCCCAACATCCTATCTCAATCAACAGCTGTCATCCCAACAGCCTATCTCAACCAACAGCTGTCATCACAACAACCTGTCTCAACCAACAGCTGTCATCACAACATCCTGTCTCAACCAACAGCTATCATCCCAACAGCGTGTCTCAACCAACAGCTATCATCACAACAGCCTGTCTCAACCAACAGCTGTCATCCCAACATCCTGTCTCAACCAACAGCTATCATCCCAACATCCTGTCTCAACCAACAGCTGTCATCACAACAACCTGTCTCAACCAACAGCTGTCATCACAACAGCCTGTCTCAACCAACAGCTATCATCACAACAGCCTGTCTCAACCAACAGCTATCATCTCAACATCCTGTCTCAACCAACATCTATCATCCCAACAGCCTATATCAACCAACAGCTATCATCACAACAGCCTGTCTTAACCAACAAATATCATCCCAACATCCTGTCTCAACCAACAGCTGTCATCACAACATCCTGTCTCAACCAACAGCTGTCATCACAACATCCTGTCTCAACCAACAGCTGTCATCACAACAGCCTGTCTCAACCAACATCTATCATCACAACATCCTGTCTTAACCAACATCTATCATCACAACAGCCTGTCTTAACCAACATCTATCATCCCAACAGCCTATATCAAACAACAGCCTCATCTAAACTATACTAACTTCTATCGGTACTGTATTCCTGTGCAGCTGGATTGTCTTTCATTTACAATTCATGAAGGAGACGTGCGCGTTGGCCTGTTGATGCCGTGATGCGGTCGGTTTGATGGTTACACGACCGGTGTTTTCGAAGGGTATAATGTGCGAGGTGCATATTGTACATTTTCCCACTTAACCCAGCGCGTTGAGTTCCATGTGGTGGCCTGGTCTCTACGTTATCGTTATTATTATCATTGTACTCCCAGTGATCTCTTGAACAATGTCCACACATGTGCGATAAGACAGGCATGTTTTTAATTTCTTAATATTGCTTTCATTTAAACAAGAAAAACAACTACAAATAAACTTCGATTTAGAGCTTTGGTGACTGCAGGGATTCATATTCTTGGTTCTTTTGGTAAAGCACGTAGAAAGGAAATAATAAAATAATAAAACAGCCGTCCTCAGGTGAGGACGGCTGCTTGCGTTGTGGCCGAAACGTCGTGAGAATTTTATATTGTTTTATTTTTATTATCGTATTATTTCCCTTCTACGTGACTTTACCGAAAGAACCAAGAATATAAAACTAAACTATTTTTTATGTTTCCAGGTAAGGGTCCACTGAGCTATACAGCTGTTTTTCAGAAGCGACGTGGCTGTCACAAATGATAGCTCAACGAAGTGGCTCATCACGTGGATATTTATAGCGGCCAAATAAGTGAAACCATACACTAAACTATTGTTTTATTTCAATATTCATCATGCTTTGATAGTTTTCCCACTCAGAGTGCGTTTAACATGTAACCCACAGCTCGATGACTAGTCTGCTCGCATTCGCTCTGACTGTTTTTCACACTTTGTTAGCAGTACCGAAATAAATAAAAATGTACTCACAGTAACCATCTCCATGAATACCGTGTTGTGTTGTTCTTGTTAAACAATCGCTCCGCGCGTAACTTCGCAGTGTTTCCGGTCGCCGTGTTTATTGTCCCAAATATAAGACGCGCCGGAGAGTAAGACGCACGCTGCTATCAGCAACCTCACACGAATACGGTCAACACACTCACCTTTCCGATTATAAAATACAGGCACCTCTCTACTTACGAATATTCGACTTACGAACTTTCAGAGATACGAACAAACCTGTACGTATGTCCAGTTGCATGTTCAAATCGAGAGTCGTAAGTTCAACCGCCGTGCAATAGATGGCGGTGGTGGCATCTCCATCTGCAGAACGTGAAGAACCAGTGGCATCTACATCTGCAGAACATTAAAAACCAGTGGCATCTACATCTGCAGAACATTAAAAACCAGTGGCATCTCCATCTGCAGAACGTGAAGAACCAGTGGCATCTACATCTGCAGAACATGAAGAACCAGTGGCATCTACAGGAGATTATACAACTTTTAAAGCCACTCCCCCTGTTTAGTGTACACGCCGTACAACACGTTTGGAATCGACAGGAGTGAAGTTGGACTTACGAACGAATGGACTTACGAACAGACCTCTGGAACCTAACTCGTCCGTAAGTAGGGGAGTTCCTGTATATATTTTTAAACATCAACACAGTCAGTCTTAAAAGGAAATATATAATAGGCAACGTTTCGGTCAATGGCCCTTTTCTTCATAGTACGTGCAAAAAAGAACGAGTTACCGAATGAGAAGACGCAGCGCCCAAGCTTTGCTTTGAGATACACAGACGAGGAGACGACGGTACCCGGGGACACAAGTCTTCGGTGGGCCGAATTAACTGAACAATGAAACGATCAACTTCACTGTAAAATAACAAACGTGACTTAACAACAAATCAAGATTTACTTAACAACAACAACGACGCAATATCGATGGCACCTTGTTTTTTGCCAGCATCATAAAAGATGAAACAATAATAGGTGTCTACCCTTTCTGGCAATAAGAAAGGTGTGTTTAGATGTTCAAGCATCAAGTCTGCATTCACCACACGCGTTACTTGTGGCAAAACATGCAAACAAACATGCTCTGATCATGTTATACGCATTGTCTTTGAAACTGATTGGTCTACACCAGAGACAGCTTTAGACCAGAGAACAACAAAAGGCGAACAGTACAAAGACAATGCAAGTATTAGAATACTTATAGCTTGGGTCGAGAAGTTCTATCTATGGGACCTTTTTGCCAGTATAAAAAATATGAGAAATAAGAATAGCTTTTACCCCTTAACAGGAGTTGTGTTAACACGTATAAACACCAAATATACACCTATTGCAAGGGCATCATTGACCAAACATACTTGTGGCAAATAATGCAAACAAATATGCTCTGGTAATAATGTTTTGCATTATCTTTGAAACTGATTTACCCACACCAGGGACAGCTTTCTTTATGGCCTTATCTCACCGCCAGTGTTAGACCAGAGAACAACAACAGGCCAACAGTGCAGAGACAATGCAAGTGTGTTAGAGCATTTATAGGTAAAACCTATCACTGTTTCATCATATTAGTTGGGTCTTTCGGTAAAGTCACGTAGATAGGTTCAAAGAAAATAAAAAAAAATACAAAAAAAACCTCCGACGTTTCGATCGCAACACAAGCGTTCGTCATCAGGAAGAGGGGGTTAGCTTCTAAAGTTTCATCATTTTGATACTGGAGAAAAGGTCCCATCGATATAACTGCTCAATACTTTGTCTTTGTGCTGTTCGCCTTTTGGCGTCCTCTGGTCTGGCACTGAGACAGACACTTGGCCGTGAAGAAGGCTTCTGTCTCTCGTGTAGGGCGATCAGTTTCATAAACAATGCATAACTTCATTCTTATCAGAGCAACAGTGTTTGCATGTTTTGCCACAAGTAACGTGTGTTTAAAGCAGACCTGCAAAATGTGTAATCTATTCGGTGCTTGAACATATAAAACACACCTCTTTTATTGCCAGAAAGGGTAAAAAAAAATCACAATCCTTTTTGTTTTAGGGGCCGTCCATAAATGACGTCACGCGATTTTGGACGATTTTTGACCCCCCCCCCCCTCGTCACACGGTGTCACAAAAAGTCAGACCCCCCTCAAATATGACGTCACAAAGCACTGCCCCCCCCCAAAAAAAACATGCTTCAAATCGCTTTAAACTATTGTTATTGTAGTGCGTATTTAATGTGGCGCTGCACTCTGATGTTGTAGGAGAAAATATTTATTAAAAAGTCTATTTAATCAAGTAGAACGTGTTGTCTATATTTATTGAAAGTTGCGCATATTGATGTGACGTCACATTTCTCCCCCCCCCCCGTCACACATCGTCACAAATGTCTGACCCCCCCCCACCCAGGTGCGTGACGTCATTTATGGACGGCCCCTTAACGCATTTCATCATGAGGCCTCCTTTGCCAGTCGCAAAATAAAACTCATTTCAATTGACCAACAATTGCCGAATGTGCATTCGGGATCGGCGGCTGTCGACCGCCGCGACCTCCCTGCCGCCACAATGTTATTGGGCTGCTGCGGGGGCGCGAATCAGCGCGGGGCAATCACCGAACGCGCCGCTTCGGGTTTTTGTTGTTGTGGTTGACGTTCCCGCGTCGCCCCTGGCAACAACGGGGCTTGTGTACACAAAAGTAGCGCCGGCCTATTGAGACCGCCGGGACGGCGCGCAGCGATATGCGTGAAGGCGGCTCAAAGTCCGTTCCGGACAACCGAGAGAAAACAAAAAAAAATCATTTAAAATCAACAACAAAACGAACGAAGAGATGCATGCGGCAGCATTTAGTAGTGCAAGTTATTAAACTTTAATATAAACCCGGCGGTTTGCGCGCGCTCTATATTTACCGGCGGCGGAGCGGTGCGTAAGTCAGACAGCGGGCGGTCTCCATGGAGACGGGAAGGCCCGCGGCCCAACTGAGAATTTAACTTCTTTGAAGGGTCCAACCCCCTTAGCTCTCTCTCATCTCTGTCTCTCGTCTCCCTCATCTCTCATCCCCTCTCTCATCTCTCTCCTCTCATATCTCCTCTCTCTCACCTCCCTCACCTCCTCTCTCATCTCTCTCAATTCTCTCTCACATCTCTCATCTCCCTCATCTCTCTCACATCTCTCATCTCCTCTCTCATCTCTCCCTTATCTCCCTCATCTCTCTCAATTCTTCCTCATCTCTCTCATCTCCTCTCATCTCCCCTGTCGTTCCGCTTCACCGACCGAGGGCGAGCGTCGACATCCACGTGGCGGTTTGCTCCACCGAGGGAGGCTTCTCTGTCTGTTGGAGCTTCGAGTTGTTCGCCCGGGCAAGAGAGATGACGGCGTTTTTAGCGCAGGCCCAGAGCGAGGCCTACACCTTCACAAGTCGACCTCGACCCGTGCCGCTCCGCGCCCCCTACAGACAGCCGTGAGTCTCTCTCCACTGCTACACTGATGACAGTCGTGAGTCTATCTCCACTGCTACACTGATGACAGTCGTCAGTCTCACTCCACTGCTACACTGATGACAGTCGTGAGTCTCTCTCCACTGCTTCACTGATGACAATCGTGAGTCTCTACTGCTACACTGATGACAGTCGTGAGTCTCTCTCCACTGCTACACTGATGACAGTCGTGAGTCTCTCTCCACTGCTACACTGATGAGAGCCGTGAGTCTCTCTCCACTGTTACACTGATGACAGTCGTGAGTCTCTCTCCACTGCTACACTGATGACAGTCGTGAGTCTCTCTCCACTGCTACACTGATGACAGTCGTGAGTCTCTCTCCACTGCTACACTGATGACAGTCGTGAGTCTCTCTCCACTGCTACACTGATGACAGTCGTGAGTCTCTCTCCACTGCTACACTGATGACAGTCGTGAGTCTCTCTCCACTGCTACACTGATCCTTGACTGATGACAGTCGTGAGTCTCTCTCCACTGCTACACTGATGACAGTCGTGAGTCTCTCTCCACTGCTACACTGATGACAGTCGTTAGTCTCTCTCCACTGCTTCACTGATGACAATCGTGAGTCTCTACTGCTACACTGATGATAGTCGTGAGTCTCTCTCCACTGCTACACTGATGACAGTCGTGAGTCTCTCTCCACTACTACACTGATGAGAGCCGTGAGTCTCTCTCCACTGTTACACTGATGACAGTCGTGAGTCTCTCTCCACTGCTACACTGATGACAGTCGTGAGTCTCTCTCCACTGCTACACTGATGACAGTCGTCAGTCTCTCTCCACTGCTACACTGATGACAGTCGTGAGTCTCTCCCCACTGCTACACTGATGACAGTCGTGAGTCTCTCTCCACCGCTACACTGATGCCAGTCGTGAGTCTCTCTCTCCACTGCTACACTGATGACAGTCGTGAGTCTCTCTCTCCACTGCTACACTGATGACAGTCGTGAGTCTCTCTCTCCACTGCTACACTGATGACAGTCGTGAGTCTCTCTCCACTGCTACACTGATGACAGTCGTGAGTCTCTATCCACTGCTACACTGATGACAGTCGTGAGTCTCTCTCCACTGCTACACTGATCCTTGACTGATGACAGTCGTGAGTCTCTCTCCACTGCTACACTGATGACAGTCGTGAGTCTCTCTCCACTGCTACACTGATGACAGTCGTTAGTCTCTCTCCACTGCTTCACTGATGACAATCGTGAGTCTCTACTGCTACACTGATGATAGTCGTGAGTCTCTCTCCACTGCTACACTGATGACAGTCGTGAGTCTCTCTCCACTGCTACACTGATGAGAGCCGTGAGTCTCTCTCCACTGTTACACTGATGACAGTCGTGAGTCTCTCTCCACTGCTACACTGATGACAGTCGTGAGTCTCTCTCCACTGCTACACTGATGACAGTCGTCAGTCTCTCTCCACTGCTACACTGATGACAGTCGTGAGTCTCTCCCCACTGCTACACTGATGACAGTCGTGAGTCTCTCTCCACCGATACACTGATGCCAGTCGTGAGTCTCTCTCTCCACTGCTACACTGATGACAGTCGTGAGTCTCTCTCTCCACTGCTACACTGATGACAGTCGTGAGTCTCTCTCCACTGCTACACTGATGACAGTCGTGAGTCTCTCTCCACTGCTACACTGATGACAGTCGTGAGTCTCTCTCCACTGTTACACTGATGACAGTCGTGAGTCTCTCTCCACTGCTACACTGATGACAGTCGTCAGTCTCTCTCCACTGCTACACTGATGACAGTCGTGAGTCTCTCTCCACTGCTTCACTGATGACAGTCGTGAGTCTCTCTCCACTGCTACACTGATGACAGTCGTGAGTCTCTCTCTCCACTGCTACACTGATGACAGTCGTGAGTCTCTCCCCACTGCTACACTGATGACAGTCGTGAGTCTCTCTCCACCGATACACTGATGCCAGTCGTGAGTCTCTCTCTCCACTGCTACACTGATGACAGTCGTGAGTCTCTCTCTCCACTGCTACACTGATGACAGTCGTGAGTCTCTCTCCACTGCTACACTGATGACAGTCGTGAGTCTCTCTCCACTGCTACACTGATGACAGTCGTGAGTCTCTCTCCACTGTTACACTGATGACAGTCGTGAGTCTCTCTCCACTGCTACACTGATGACAGTCGTGAGTCTCTCCCCACTGCTACACTGATGACAGTCGTCAGTCTCTCTCCACTGCTACACTGATGACAGTCGTGAGTCTCTCTCTACTGCTACACTGATGACAGTCGTGAGTCTCTCTCCACTGCTACACTGATGATAGTCGTGAGTCTCTCTCCACTGCTACACTGATGACAGTCGTGAGTCTCTTTCTACTGCTACACTGATGAGAGTCGTGAGTCTCTCTCCACTGCTTGACTGATCCTTGACTGATGACAGCCGTGAGTCCCCATCTCTGTATTCCGTCACCCATGATCGGTACCAGCGATATTAAGATTGGCCTCCCTGGACGACGAGGCTCGTGAAGGAACGCTCCTGGTCAGGTGCCACCAGCTTGGTGCATTTTTCGAGAGCTGCTGGCAAGTTGGAGGCGGTCGCCATTCCAACATCGCCGGACAGACAATTCGCAGCGAGGTGGCAGAGCGGACAGCACAGGCGGTGCATCTGCCAGTCATATCAAGTGACCCATAATGCACGGCTCCCTCCCGTGCCCTCTTGCGTATGTGTATGTCGAACTAGTTTCGCACCGGGGCGAAGGCAACCGTGCACCTAGCCTGGCACATCGGTCAACCCACAACACCTGGGTCTGTCCTGTGATATTCTTCCAGCAGCAGCGGGAGCCTTTCGTGATCCACGCCTCTGGCGACGGCCTAAACGTACACCTAGCCTGGCACAAGCGCCGTGGTGACAGCTACTTGGTGGTGAACGTCGGCCGTTGTCAACGTAGGACGACCCTACGTTGACACGTTGCAGTGCCGGACATGATACGTCGTTCCTTTGAACTGGGAGACACTTTTGGCTTTTGATAAAACAATGCCATGTAAGGTATTGTTTTATGTTGGCCTGTGTTGGGGAGAGGATGATGATGATGACGACGATGGTGGTGACGTTGCAGGGACGATGGCTCAGATCGCTTTGGCAACATCATGTACGACCGGCGCGTTGTGCGTGGGAACACGTACGCGCAGCACTTGCAGCCCACGGTGAGGCCCATCAACGATACCCGCACTCACATTCAGCATCGCCATCATTGCCATTATCAATCACCGAGAGCGGAAGTGCCGACAACAGTGCCATGCTGATCATCGTTACCAGGGGGTCTGCAACCTGCGGCTCCGGAGCCGCATGCGGTGGCTCTTTAAAGACTGCTGCTCCGTGACTCGTTATTCGCACCGCATTGGCGGCTCTGGAAATATGGAGGTTTTTTAATACTTACCGAATCCGAAAAAAATGCCTCTCCTTGTTATTTTGGTTTGCCAGCTCCTGATCATTTCCATCATAAATCAGCGGCAACATCATCAGCATCATCATCATTATTGCAACCACCGCTAGACTACTACCATCAACCGCATGCCTCCCATAGCTAAACAAAACACAATGTAACTGGTATTTGGACGTATTGGCGGTACACCGGTGAAGCATAACACGCCGGTCCTCATGAACCAGTCTGACTATGTCGCTGTTGCCCCTTGAGTGAGCCACAGACTTCTCCATCATAAGTTGCACTTCGATTCAGCTGCTGCTTTCACATTCGAACGTGTAACTTGAGGCATAAGCTTTTGATACCACCATCCGCCAAGAAATGATTCTGGAAGTGAATCGAGGAACCGTCGGAACAAGTCTATGGCGTGAGTCAAATCTGCCTTCGGAACACGGAGCAAGCCAATCGTCACCAGGCTGGGTGTTCAGCCGCTCGTATAAACGTTCCGTCTTACGACCGCGAGAACCGATGTTGACGCAGCACCACCACCCCGCAAGATTTTCTGACCGGGTTTGCGAATCGCGGGAAAATACATAATTATTGTGAGAAATTGTATTTATTTTTATGTCGTGCACCACCGGTGTACCGCCAATACGTTCATTTGTCAAAACATCCCAATGCTGAAAAATGAATTGCAAATGCCTCAATTTGGAGTTTTCACAGTAACATCGCGACCCCGACTGCGACAAACTTGGCATAGTCTAAGAGACTCAGTGAGGCCCTCCTGGGTAAACTAGTGGTGGTGGCTCAGGGTTAGCGAGCTGCCCTACGAACGTGGTGACCTGTGTTCGATTCCCGCTCACGGTCAACACCAGTGAAGATTATCTGAACCGGTCCTGGGCCTCAGCCTGGTGCGGTGTTTAAAAACAATCTACTGGGGAGGCAAAGGCAGCCGGGCGTGGTGCTGGCCATCTACCCCCTCGTGCGCCACGCCTGCCTTCATCGGCGCTACTCGCCAGCGGCGTTTGCTCCAACAGCTTGTTAAGGCTACAAGGTGGGAGTTGATCTTTGTCTTTGCCTGTGAATCCAGTCGGCAGGGCCAGACCCCGTGGAGCTGCAGAGGCAGCAGGAGTCGCGGCGGCGCGCCCTCGCGCGCAAGAGAGCCAAGGCCGCCCTGCGCCCCTTCTCCCCCGAGCCCGTGGAGGGCCGCAAGCACGTCGACGTACAGACCGGTGGGCACGGTGGGGGGTGGGGGGGCGCGTTCTCGCAGCCTCTTGTGACCCCCTTCTCCGCTGACGCAGTACGCGCAGAGCCAGTGCGGGGGGGCACCTCGCGGCACGGGTGTGTTTTTCTGCCGGCCATTTAACTACTGAGCCGAGCCGGAACCAAACTGCGCCTCGCTGGTGTTCTGACAATCTGAATGTGGCTCGGGGGCCAAGCAGGGCCACGGGCAGGGGGGGTGCTCACGTTGCGGTCATCGCATGCAGCCTCATTCTCCGCACCGTGGACGCAGCGGATGAACAACCCGGCGCCTGAGCCACGCCGGACTGCCCACCCGGCCTCTGTAGACTATAGCGAGGCATTTCACTCGGTGGAAATTGACGCGTGTACACACCTTGTGTGCGTTTTTCGTTTGCACGCAGAGTTGTACCTGGAGGAGCTGAGTGGCCGTGTGCAGGAGCGCGACTGGGGCTGTCAGACGGACGCCTTCCTCGACCGCCCCGCTAGCCCTCTCTTCATCCCCGCCAAGAGCGGGCGCGACGCCACCACGCAGATCCTGCCGGGCGAGGCACGCCGACTTACGCCCACTCACACGCACACACAGTCTTTAACAGACTGTTGGGGCAAGTGCTGTTAGCGAGCAACCTATGAAGGCTTGCACGGAACACGAGGGGGCGGGTGGTCTGCATCATAGCCGGCCGCCTTTGTCTCCCCTCCCCAGTGGCGATGTTTACACACCGCACCAGGTACTCATTTGAGGCTGAGTCGACCTAGGGAAGGCCCAGAACCGAGCGGTTCAGATAATCGTCACTGGTGTTGGCCGTGAGAACGACGTTTAGGCTGTCGCCTGATGAGACTGATTGTAATTACCGGCGTAATATCGTACTCAAATTGTAAATGTTGTGGGTTTACTCTCCAACACACCGGTGTGCTGAACTAGTACCTAATTGGCACGTTTTGTTACGTGTCAAACCTTACTAATTGGCTGTGTCTGGCAGTGAAGGGTTTAACGACACATTTATATTTATGCGATCTCACAAAAAAAAAACTCTTATGGATATTGGTCGCGAAAGCCCTACTACTACGTGTTAGACAGCTTCACAACGCACTGCACCAATCACTGCATTACCACTCCACCCAATATATGTCTGGCAGCAAGCGTCCTTGTATGCAGATATCTCGTGGTTCACCACAATTTGCGTTTAAGCAAGCATTGGCTCCTCTGCTGGTGAAACACCGTATGTCAAAACCAGTCCAGTGCTGCTGAAATTATGCACTCTCAGCAAGGCCGTGTTGCTGACGAGATGTGTAAAAAAATACTTCCGTATATGACACCATACTGACACCTCGATATATGTGCATTCGCCGCAATAATCAAGCATTCGCCACTAAGTGGTCGCGACGGCAGTCGTGCCAGGCTAGGTGCACTTGGAGGCCGCCACGCGAAGTGCGGATGGCTCGCCGCTGCTGCAAGATACGACTGTGGGCCCTCTCCCTTTCTCCCGACTCACTTTTAACTGAAATATCTGCGGATGTTTTTAACTCATATACAATCATTTGTAGGCTACAACTATATATATTATTCTTGTCATAAAAAGTTTCTTTAATATTTATTTTAATTTATTTACTTGTTTACCTGTTTCATTCGGGGCCCCCTTGCGGCCGACTGGGTCCCTGTGCGTCGCGTAACGCTGCTGCCACAAACCCTTCCCACTCCGCCATAGTTGCACCCCTGTGTGGAAGGACAGATACGCGAACGAGGTGCACCGCTTAATAATTTTGCATCCTGTGTGTAAGTTTATACAGGGTGCTTCAAAAAAATGGTAACATTTACATGGGACTATCGTTTTGTTGGGAAAATAGAACGGACAATAGACTGTAATGTGATAACACATGGATGTTAATAGCTTCGGAAAGGCAAAGCGTCTCCACCTGTTTGCCATCATTGTCAACGCACACCTGGAATCTTCTCCAGGTGGTCTCCAGAGCCCGGAGGCACATTTATTGTGGTATTGTTTGCAAATTCTCGGAAGTGTTAACAATTTTCCGAAGCACCCTGTATTATATTTGTTTATACATGTTTAGAAATACATATGTTTGTACGTATGCCTGATTCCCGCGCACCTCAGCTGTTTGACTTTGAAGTGGAGGTACGGCCCCTGGTGGAGGTGCTCGTGGGCAAGACGGTGGAGCAGTCGCTGCTGGAGGTGATGGAGGAGGAGGAGCTCGCGTCGCTGCGCGCCCAGCAGCGCGCCTTCCTGGAGCTGCGCAACGCCGAGCGCGCCGAGGCCCAGCGGCTCCACGAGCAGGACCGGAGGCTGCGCGCCGAGAAGGTGACACGGCCTCCCGCCTCGCGCAAAGGGCGCCGCAGGGCGGTGGGCCGCAGCCCCACGGCACGGCCTCGCGCCCCTTGCGGCCCGGCTGTAAGCGAGCACCTAACAACGCCGAAACGGCACGCAAGGGCACCACGCCCCGCCGCCTTTGTCTCCCCAGTAGCGATGTTTACACACCGCACCAGATTACTCAATTGAGGCTTCGGGGTGGCCCAGAACCGGTTCAGGGACTCATCACTGGCGAACCAGGAATCGAACCCAGTTCGTCAGGTTCCTAGCGCAGCGTGCTAACTGCTACGCCACTACTCCGCGTTTCCACCCTGCACACACGCATACACACAGAGGTCCCCAGGTATGGGGGGGGGGGGCCCTTCTTGCTGGTATCAACATGATGGACATCTTAACACCTGAACGTCTTGGGGCACTGCGGTGGCGAGGTATTACCCCCCTCGTCTGATATGCAAGAGGTCGTGGGTTCGATCCTGAGCCAGACACCCAGTTGTATATTTTCGCGACCAATATCATCCATAATAGAGGTTTTTTTGGGTAAGATCGCGTAAATATATAAATGTGTCGTTAAGATCAAAGGGCTCGCATAGTGCACATGCATCATGTATGTTGACTCAGTAATCCCACCCCCCACTTGGCGTAAGAGCGCAGAAGCGTGGTCACCACATCTACGCCTCTATATAAGGAACGAAACAGTCATCCTTCTCCACAAATCTGGCTGTCGCCTGATCAAGCTAGTTGTAATTACAGGCGAAAGGTTGTACTCAGATTGTAAATGTTGTGGCTTGGCTCTCCAACACACCGGTGTGCTGTACTAGTGACGAATTGGCATGTTCTGTTTACGTGACAACCCTTACTAGTTGGCTGTGTCGGGTGGTGGCGGGTTTTAACGACACATTTATATATTTACGCGATCTAACCCAAAAACACCTCTCTTATGGATGTATATTTGGAGTTTGCATGTCTCTGTTTCCCCGTGGTCGCATGAATTTTTCTCCGGGGCCCTCTGGTTTTTCCCTCCATATTCAGAAGCAACATCACACGTTTAGAGAATTTGACTGCTGTACATTTGCACACGATGATAAGCCACTTTGTTGAGCTGTCATTTGTGGCCATGTCACTTCTGAAAAAGAGCGACATAGCTCAGTGGGCCTTAGCTGGTAAAATAAAAAAAGTTTAGTTTTTAGTTTAGCTTGTAGAAAACGTTTATTTGCGGCCCTATTCTTCCTGTTTCTGTCCTACTGTGCTGAATGGGTTTCCTATTCCCGCACGGCCAATCATTTCCGTTGCCCGCGGAATATATCCTCGGTATTTAAAACGCGGTTACAAACATCAGCCTCAGGTGACGTTTCATTGTCCTTTGCTGTATTGCGGTTTTTTATGTTGAAATCAATTTTGCGTACATTTTGGTGACAATCCGAGTCTCTTCTGCAAAAGGAGACTTATCCCACGAGCGTCAGCTTCTCGCCCAATGTAAACGACGGGAACTCAACCGAGATTCCCCGCCGGTTTTGCCGACGCCGCCGCCAACCCCCCCCCCCCCCCCCCCCCCCCCGGGCCGCCCCTTGCAGGATCGCCGGCGGCGGCAGCAGCAGGAGGTGGTGGCGCAGGAGAAGGAGGTGGCGGACAAGGTGGCGGCGCGGGCATTCGCCAAACGCTACCTGGGCGACCTCATCCCGGCCGTGTTCAGCACGCTGCGCGACACGGGATACTTCTACGACCCCGTCGAGAGGGGTGCGCGGATGACCGCGACGGAGCGCGACGCCGCGTGTCCGACCGTCGTGGCGGTACCGCCCGATCAATGAGCCGCCACCCCCCTCCCCCCGTGCGCCGTGAGGAGAGGTGGCGCCGCCACTTTAGCGGGTTTGGCAGTCGCAATTCATTGTGTTGCGGTGCTTCCGTCCACACGTCTCCCCCGTGTGCGTTCCCTTGTGCCTCCCCGTACATCCATCCGTCTATCGTTGTACCGCCCTGTGGCGTGGCGACCCGGGTTCGATTCCCGCTCACGGTCGACACCCGTGACGATTATCTGAAACCGGTCCTGGACCTCCCATAGGTCGACTCGGCCTCAAATGAGTACCTGGTGCGGTGTGTAGGCATCGCCACTCGGGAGATAAAGGCGGCCGGGCGTGGTGCTGGCCACCTACCCCCTCGAGTGTCCTCATAAATTCTACTCGTGAACAGCGCTTGCCCCAACAGACTGCTACAGGTTATACGGGGGCTCTTTGTACCGCCCTGTCTGATGACCCCACGTTTCCCCATGTGTCCCTAGATGTGGAGAATGCGTTCATGCCCTGGCTGATGAACGCGGTGGAGGCAGAGCTCCAGAAGGCACTGGAGGCCCGAGCTCTCCTGGACTGTGAGCAACCAAACACCTACAATACATCAATACAAATATATAAACAAAGTTCATACATACAACAACACAATAATCGCCATTTTCCACAAGTGGCAGTGACTTTAAATGTCAAACTCCCACTGGCAGGAGGTCACAGGACAGAGCCAGGTGCCATGGGTTGAGTGACTGAGATGACTGGCCGATGCACCACGTGAACCCACATACACGCAGGCATACACACGTATATATATACATACACATTAGGTACTTATACATACGGTATAAGTTACGTGCATTAAGCATATACACCTGTACACCCTGCATACACATGTACATTCTCTCCGTTTGCTGCATTTGTCAGGACCAAGTTGGTACTTATTCAGTCTGTGGATCTCAGTGCATAGAGGGTAGGGGATGTTGAAGTCCGCTATGGCAGCACGCCCTCTTGAGCTGAGAGTCAGGAGAGTCTTACACACATTTTCGGAAGCGCTCACAAGCCTGAGTTGTTCTCGTTCTTCGCAGCGATCATCCGCGACGTGGCAGCTCGTAGAGAGAGGAGCTACGGAGGAGGAGAGCCTTCTGAGAGCTAAGGACACCTGAGATGTCATCTGAAGTGACGCCAACCCAAAACATCTTTCCCACTCTCAGTGGTTCGGGTGGTTTGAGGGGAATCGTAATGGCCGCGTCAAAGCCACCGAGTTCCTGGCTTCGAATCCAGAGCTTCCCATTCATGTGGTATTGCAAAAATAAGGCGATGTTTTACAGAGTTTCATACTGTTGTGCTATATTGGCAATGAGTGAGCATAACAATAAATGTAATTGTCAAACAGGATTTTTGCTTCTTTCCTAAATGTGAATCAAATACATTTATTTTTGTAAAATATACCTGCAATGGATATCATTGCGTTGATGTGAATGTACTTGAATTTTGGAGGGTTGTTGAAAAGTCTATGTCTGAACAAAGCAAGTGATGGGTGACCTGGTTAGCGTGGCAGCCAAGGAACAGAACGCCTCTGAGAGGGCCCGTAATCTGAAGGAGATGGAGCAATGAAATCAGTTCGTGCGAAAGTGCTGGACTGATTATTGAAATGCAAGTTTCGTGAGAGGTGGTGGCATGGAGAGGCCCTCGTCCACAGCTGATGATGGTATGGTTAGACTACGTTATATTCATACACATTCCCGTTGAAGTGAAATACTCTTTGTCCATCATCATCATCATCGATGTCCCAAGGCTTTAGTCCCCACCCTGAAGAACACTGCCAACTCCTCACCATATCGCAGCCCCACGCCTACAACACCTGGTAAGCCCTGGTGGTCACCAACCAGGCTCAAAAAGCCTGCTTAGCCTGACATGCGATGAGGTTGGGCACGGTCCATTCCTCACTCAAGATGAACAGCAAGTGCTGGGTGTTTGCTCGGTGTAGAATATTACATCGATACCTTCAGCGTGAATGTGTGTGTGCCTTGACGAGCTCGGAGTAACGCACATGGCTGCACAGTTCATCTGTTTGAATTTTGTTTTATTTCACATTACAGGCAAAAGCAATTCACCTCGGTAGCACGTAAGGGTATATAGGTCTTTTCAAAGGTTGGGGATAGGGGTGATTTGATGGTGATGGAATGTTCATTGAGGGTTACATATGTGTAGGTGTTGGTGTAATCTTCTGGATGTGTCCGGTCAGGAGGTATTTGTTGGCTGGGTTCATCTGAAACAAAATAATGACATGCTTTTTTTTAAACTCAACATACATTTGTGTCTATATTGACGAACACACACACCAAGATCCCCATTTAGCCTTACATGCTGTTGGAGCAAGTACTGTTAGTGAGCACCTATGAAGGCCAGCATGGCACAAGTAGGTGGTGTGGTCGGCATCACGCCTGGCCGCCTTTGTCTTCCCAAAGTCAAAACAATACCATTCCAATACACAATTGCCACCATTCGCCACTAAGTGGCAGTGACGTCACCATGCCGCCTGTGCCAGGTCAGGTGCACTCCGACGCCACGTGATGTGTCGGAACTGACTCCGGTGCCATGGATTGCCTGACCAAGATGACTGGTAGATGCACCAAAGACAAAGACCCCCCATATAGCCTTGACGGACTGTTGGGGCAAGTGCTGTTAGCGAGCACCTATGAAGACCGGCACGGCACACGAGGGGGTGGGTGGCCAGCGCCACGCCCGACCGCCTTTGTCTCCCCAGTGGCGATGTTTACTGCACACTGCACCAGGTATTCATTTAAGGCTGAGTCGACCTAGGGGAGGCCCAGGATCGGGTCATATATTTGGCACGATGTTGGTCATGAGCGTGAATTGAACTCGGGTCACCGGCTTCGTAGCGCAGCGCGCTGACCGCTACGCTACCGCTCGCACACACAGACACCACACCGACACCACGATATACCAGCATCCGCCACTAATCGGCGGTGACGTCGCCACGGCGCTCGTGCCAGGCTAGGTGCACTTTGAGGCCGTCACGTGAAGTGCGCACGGCTCACTGCTGGCAGGAGGTCAAGGGGCAGACCCAGAGGCGCAACGACCTACTGTCAACGGGGGTGGCTATGCAAGGCACTCCTCTCATTTCTCAGGCCTCCCCACTCCCCGTGGCTACGGAGCCTCCGTGCGTGCGTCTCCGCCTCACCTCGTCGCTTACACCAAGGGGTAGCTGGCGGCGGTGGCGATGCCGCACTGGTTGTTCTTGTTGCGGCTCATCAGGATGTAGCCCTTGCTGCCCCAGTCCGCGCCCCAGCTGCTCGCGGGGATGGAGAGACACGGGGAGACAGGTCGAAGGGGGGTTAACAACGGGATAAATAATGATTGAACACACTCGTCAATAACACTCCGCCTTCGAATGGAAACTGTTTGAGCGTTTCGTTTTAATGGGCGGATGTCTTGGGAGGTTGTTTATTGTTAATTGTGCTTGAGCACCACTGTCAACACAGCAGCACCATTTGAATCAGTTCTGTTTAACGGGGAAACACAGGGTGCTTCAAAAAAATGTGAACACTTCCGAGAGTGTGCGACAATACCATGAACAAATGTGCCGCCTCCTCCAGGCTCTGCAGACCACCTGGAGAAGATTCCAGGCACGCGTTGACAATAATGTCGAACAAATGGAGACTCTTTGACTTTTTGAAGGAATCAACATACATACTTGTTATCATGTGTATGTTGATTGCATTTTTTAAGCCCCCTGTGTATAGAGGGGAGGGCGAGACGATTGGATATAAGAGAGCCACGGGGGAAATGCAGGACAGCGTGGGGAGAGGGCACGTGGGGGGGAGGGGAAACGTGGAGACGGACAAGACGCGGGGCCCTCGCCTGTTCTTGACGAGCCAGAAGTCCGTGCCGTCCTGGGTGCCGTAGCCCACTGCGAGGACTCCGTGGTCCAGCTGCTCGCTGCTGCACATCGGCTCGTCGTAGACGCCTGGGCAAGGTGGGTGGTGAGAGGTGTACACACACACACGATGTATACACACACACTCGGTGTACACACACACACTCGGTGTACACACACACTCGGTGTATACACACACACTCGGTGTATACACACACACTCGGTGTGTACACACATGGTGTACACACACAGTGTACACACACATGGTGTACACACACAGTGTACACACACACGGTGTACACACACAGTGTACACACGGTGTACACACACATTCAAGAATAATACAAATATCCTCCGTGTAACCTGCGTAGCGTTGGGGTAAGTGCTGTTATTTACCATCGATTAAGACCAGCACCACGCCAGCCAGTCGTCCTGTCTCCCCCGCTACTGTGCCAACTCGCTGTGTTTTAGCCACCCGGCGCTCCGCTCGTTGTTGTGAGCATCGCACCGCCGCCCTCCATTGTGGTTGTTGGGAGGGCGACTCCCACCGCTAACTGCCCAGCAGCATCAGCAGCAGCAGCGTCCTTCACGAGCCTCCTCCTCCTCCACAGAGGCCGATCTTGACACGGCCGGTACCCGGGCATCGGCAACGTCCAATCGGACCCGGCGCGCTGCTCACCGGAGCCGTACAGCTGGAAGGACGGATTGCTGGCGTCGATGGCCACGGAGACGGGACCCACGGACGCCACGGCCTGCTTCAGCTGGGCCTCGTCGCCCGAGGGGATGTCCACGAAGCCCGTGCACGTCGCCCCGATGCAGCTCGGCTTGAACTTGCAGACTCCGTCCTGCGTCGGAGGCACGCGGCCCGCACGGCACCAATCGTCACGGCGGCGGCGGCGACATCAATCATCGAGGGGAATAGAATTGGATTCAAAAGCGCGTCACATGTGGTCATGACGAGGCGCTCTGGACGTCAGGATAAAGATCTGGGAAGTCCTCGACACGCACACACAAAGACAAAGATCCCCCGTATAGCCTTAACAGACTGTAGGGGCAAGTGCTGCTAGGGAGCACACACACCCTCGGACACTCGCACGCGTACAACCACCGACATTCGCCACTAAGTGGCGGTGAAGTGACACCACGGCGCTCGTGCCAGGCTAGGTGCACGGTGAGGCCACGTGAAGTTGTCGGAACGCCCGCCGGCAGGAGGTCACGGGACAGACCCAGCAGGTGCCACGGGTCGCCCGACCGAGACGACTGCTGCCCGATGCACCACCCGTGCCCCCTACCGTGCCAACACACGCACACACGTGCGGAGGGGGCGCACCGTGGCGGTGTACGGGTAGCACTCCTCCGTGTCGATGCCCTTGTTGGCGATGATGTACTCGAAGGCGTTGTCCATGAGGCCTCCTTCGCAGCCGTTGTTGCCGAAGCTGCCCGAGCAGTCCACCAGCTGCTGCTCGCTGAGCGACACCAGCTTCCCCGTCGCGGCAAAGTGCTGCCCCTCCAGCGAGCCCGTCTGTTCCGGGGGGGGGGGGGGCAGCCCCCGGACACGAGGCTCTCACGGCGGTCGTGCAGCCCGGGCCCTCCTCCTCCACGCACGGCCACCCCACGCCTCGCGGCTGGGCGAGCCGCTGTACGTGGAGGCACACGGGGAGACACACGGTGGAGACACACGTGGAGAGACAAGGTGGAGACACACGGGGAGAGACAAGGTGGAGAGACGGGGAGAGAGAAGGTGGAGAGACAAGGTGGAGAGACACGTGGAGAGAGAAGGTGGAGAGACAAGGTGGAGAGACACGTGGAGAGAGAAGGTGGAGAGACATGTGGAGAGAGAAGGTGTAGAGACAAGGTGGAGACGCACGTGGAGAGACAAGGTGGAGAGACAAGGTGGAGACACGTGGAGCGACAAGGTGGAGAGACAAGGTGGAGACACGTGGAGAGACAAGGTGGAGAGACAAGGTGGAGACACGTGGAGCGAAAAGGTGGAGAGACAAGGTGGAGAGACACGTGGAGAGAGAATGTGGAGAGACAAGGTGGAGACACGTGGAGAGAAAAGGTGGAGAGACAAGGTGGAGAGACACGTGGAGAGACAAGGTGGAGAGACAAGGTGGAGAGACAAGGTGGAGAGACAAGGTGGAGACACGTGGAGAGAGAAGGTGGAGAGACAAGGTGGAGAGAGAAGGTGGAGAGACACGTGGAGAGAGAAGGTGGAGAGACAAGGTGGAGAGACACGGGGAGAGAGAAGGTGGAGACACGGGGAGATACAAGGTGGAGAGACACGTGGAGAGAGAAGGTGGAGAGACAAGGTGGAGAGACACGGGGAGAGACAAGGTGGAGAGACAAGGTTGGAGAGACAAGGTGGAGAGACAAGGTGGAGAGACAAGGTTGGAGTCACGCGAGTTGATACGCGGTGCGGACTCAGGGCGACGGGCGCTGCCCACTCACGGTGCTGAAGGCCCAGCAGGAGCCGCACTGGCCCTGGTCCTTGACCCCGGTCACGTAGCCCTTGTCCCTCCAGTCCACGCTGGGCGGCTCCACGGCGTCCCGCGCGACCAGGAAGGTCGAAGCGGCGCGGGGCTCGCGACGCGTGCGGTTCAGGAGGCAGTGGCCCACCACGAGGTCACGGAACTCACGGCCGGTCTGGGTGGGCGGACAGAGGTGGCGCGGGGGGAGGGGGGGGGAGGAGGGAGTGAGGGAGTGGGACGGAAGGGGGTAGGTGGGTGAGGGAGGGAGGTGGGGAGGGAGGGGGTAGGGAGGGAGGAGTGAGGGGGGGGGTGAAGGAGGCAGGGAGGATGGAGGGAGGGACCCATCGCAGATCCCGAGTCAACACCGCATCCCAACCAGCGAGGAGTTCCCCATCATCGTTTATTTTTCTGCCCGGATCAATCCGAGAACTTTCGGGGAAATGTCTGGAAATTGTGGCCCAGACGACGGCGCCCTGGGCCACGCCACCTCGAACACACCCAATGCCGTGCCTCTACCACACCCTGAAGCCACTGGGAGCTGTTGCACTTGTAAATCATCTGGCAGGAGGTCACGGGACAGACCCAGGGGCCACGGGTTGACTGACTCAGATGAGTGGCCGATGCACGACCTGTGCCCCCTACTGTGCCAACTTGCTGTGTTTTAACCACCCGGCACTCCGCTCATCGTTGTGAGCGTCGCTCCTCCGTTGTTGCTGGAGGGCGACTGCCTCCTACTGCCCAGTAGCAGCGTCCTTCACGAGCCTCCTCCACAGAGGCCGATCTTGACACCGCTGGTACCAGTCATCGGCAAGTCCACTCAGCTCCAAATCCTCCTGTACCACATCACTCCATCTCTTCTCTAGCCCGTGCCTCTCACTGTTAAGCCCCCTCTATCCGGTCGAACAAAAGCTGTTTAGGCATGCGGTGGCTGGGCATGCGGGCTACGTGACCCAGCCAACGCATCCACCACAACCACCACCCCAACAATCACCACCAGATACAGCAGCAGCAGCAGCACAGCGCACCAGATCGGCGAACTTGTTGGTCTCGAGGCGGTATGAGACTTTGCCCTGGTCAGCCAGGAGGTTGTTCTGCAGGACGAGGCGCAGGTTGGACTGGAAGATCTGCTGGCGGAGAGACTCCACCTGCTCGCTCTCATAGCTCTTGCCTGCGAGCAGCGGGGTCACGGTCCGGGTTGGAGGGGGTGCAAGGGGGTTAGGGTCAGAGGGTGAGCGCCGGTACCGGGGGGGTAGGGTGCTGGGGGCACTGTGAGCGGGTCCGAGTGTTGTTGGGGTCAGTGTTAGGGTCTGTGTTGGGTCAATATGTAGGGTCAATATGTAGGGTCAGTGTTAGGGTCAGTGTTAGGGGCAGTGTTAGGGTCAGTTTTAGGGTCAATATGTAGGGTCAGTGTTAGGGTCAATTTTAGGGTCAGTGTTAGGGTCAGTGTTAGGGTCAGTGTTAGATTCAGTGTTAGGGTCAGTTTTAGGATCAGTGTTAGGGTCAGTGTTAGGGTCAGTGTTAGATTCAGTGTTAGGGTCCGTTTTAGGGTCAGTGTTAGGGTCAGTTTTAGGGTCAGTGTTAGGGTCAGTTTTAGGGTCAGTGTTAGGGTCAGTATTAGGGTCAGTATTAGGGTCAGTATTAGGGTCAGTGTTAGGATCAGTATTAGGGTCAGTGTTAGGGTCAGTGTTAGGGTCAGTATTAGGGTCAGTTTTAGGGTCAGTGTTAGATTCAGTGTTAGGGTCAGTTTTAGGGTCAGTGTTAGGGTCAGTGTTAGGGTCAGTGTTAGATTCAGTGTTAGGGTCAGTTTTAGGGTCAGTGTTAGGGTCAGTGTTAGGGTCAGTGTTAGATTCAGTGTTAGGGTCAGTTTTAGGGTCAGTGTTAGGGTCAGTATTAGGGTCAGTATTAGGGTCAGTATTAGGGTCAGTGTTAGGATCAGTATTAGGGTCAGTGTTAGGGTCAGTGTTAGGGTCAGTGTTAGGGTCAGTATTAGGGTCAGTTTTAGGGTCAGTGTTAGATTCAGTGTTAGGGTCAGTTTTAGGGTCAGTGTTAGGGTCAGTGTTAGGGTCAGTGTTAGATTCAGTGTGAGGGTCAGTTTTAGGGTCAGTGTTAGGGTCAGTTTTAGGGTCAGTGTTAGGGTCAGTTTTAGGGTCAGTGTTAGGGTCAGTATTAGGGTCAGTATTAGGGTCAGTATTAGGGTCAGTGTTAGGATCAGTATTAGGGTCAGTGTTAGGGTCAGTGTTAGGGTCAGTATTAGGGTCAGTTTTAGGGTCAGTGTTAGATTCAGTGTTAGGGTCAGTTTTAGGGTCAGTGTTAGGGTCAGTGTTAGGGTCAGTGTTAGATTCAGTGTTAGGGTCAGTTTTAGGGTCAGTGTTAGGGTCAGTGTTAGGGTCAGTGTTAGATTCAGTGTTAGGGTCAGTTTTAGGGTCAGTGTTAGGGTCAGTATTAGGGTCAGTATTAGGGTCAGTATTAGGGTCAGTGTTAGGATCAGTATTAGGGTCAGTGTTAGGGTCAGTGTTAGGGTCAGTGTTAGGGTCAGTATTAGGGTCAGTTTTAGGGTCAGTGTTAGATTCAGTGTTAGGGTCAGTTTTAGGGTCAGTGTTAGGGTCAGTGTTAGGGTCAGTGTTAGATTCAGTGTTAGGGTCAGTTTTAGGGTCAGTGTTAGGGTCAGTGTTAGGGTCAGTGTTAGGGTCAGTATTAGGGTCAGTGTTAGGGTCAGTGTTAGGGTCAGTATTAGGGTCAGTGTTAGGATCAGTGTTAGGGTCAGAGTTAGGGTCAGTATTAGGGTCAGTGTTAGGGTCAGTGTTAGGATCAGTATTAGGGTCAGTGTTAGGGTCAGTGTTAGGGTCAGTATTAGGGTCAGTTTTAGGGTCAGTGTTAGATTCAGTGTTAGGGTCAGTTTTAGGGTCAGTGTTAGGGTCAGTGTTAGGGTCAGTGTTAGATTCAGTGTTAGGGTCAGTTTTAGGGTCAGTGTTAGGGTCAGTGTTAGGGTCAGTGTTAGATTCAGTGTTAGGGTCAGTTTTAGGGTCAGTGTTAGGGTCAGTATTAGGGTCAGTATTAGGGTCAGTATTAGGGTCAGTGTTAGGATCAGTATTAGGGTCAGTGTTAGGGTCAGTGTTAGGGTCAGTGTTAGGGTCAGTATTAGGGTCAGTTTTAGGGTCAGTGTTAGATTCAGTGTTAGGGTCAGTTTTAGGGTCAGTGTTAGGGTCAGTGTTAGGGTCAGTGTTAGATTCAGTGTTAGGGTCAGTTTTAGGGTCAGTGTTAGGGTCAGTATTAGGGTCAGTGTTAGGGTCAGTATTAGGGTCAGTGTTAGGGTCAGTGTTAGGGTCAGTATTAGGGTCAGTGTTAGGATCAGTGTTAGGGTCAGAGTTAGGGTCAGTGTTAGGGTCAGTGTTAGGGTCAGTGTTAGGGTCAGTATTAGGGTCAGTGTTAGGGTCAGTGTTAGGGTCAGTGATAGGGTCAGTGTTAATTTACGAGCAGTCTCTGCACTGTCTGCCCAGTGTTGTTCTCTGCTCTAACACTGGCGGTGAGGCTTGGCCATCAAGAAAGCTGTCTCTGGTGTGGACCAATCAGTTTCAAAGACAATGCATAAAACATGATGAGAGCATGTTTATTTGCATATTTTACCACAAGTAACGTGTGTGGTGAATGCAGACTTGATGCCTTGCAAAAGGTATAATCTATTTGGTGTTTGAACATCTAAACACACCTCCTAGTTGTGTAGGCAGAAAGGGGTCAAACGAGGTGCTGGGTGGTGAGTGTGAGCTGGGTGGTGTGAGCGAGATGGTGAGTGGTGAGCAAGGTGGTGAGTCTGAGTGAGGTGGTGAGCAAGGTGGTGAGTCTGAGTGAGGTGGTGAGTGGTGAGCAAGGTGGTGAGTCTGAGCGAGGTGGTGAGTGGTGAGCAAGGTGGTGAGTCTGAGTGAGGTGGTGAGTGGTGAGCAAGGTGGTGAGTCTGAGTGAGGTGGTGAGTGGTGAGCTGGGTGGTGAGTCTGAGTGAGGTGGTGAGTGGTGAGCAAGGTGGTGAGTCTGAGTGAGGTGGTGAGTGGTGAGCAAGGTGGTGAGTCTGAGTGAGGTGGTGAGTGGTGAGCAAGGTGGTGAGTCTGAGTGAAGTGGTGAGTGGTGAGGTGGTGAGTGGTGAGTGAGGTGGTGAGTGGTGAGCGAGGTGGTGAGGGGTACCGTGGTGAGTCTGAGTGAGGTGGTGAGTGGTGAGTGAAGTGGTGAGTGGTGAGCGAGGTGGTGAGTGAAGTGGTGAGTGGTGAGCGAGGTGGTGAGTGGTGAGCGAGGTGGTGAGGGGTGAGTGAGGTGGTGAGTGGTGAGCGAGGTGGTGAGTGGTGAGCGAGGTGGTGAGGGGTACCGTGGTGAGTCTTCCACGACTCCCACTCCAGCTGCTCCACGCTGAGCGCCTGGGCGAACGCCAACAGCGCAGCGAGTGCCGTGACACGGAGCATCATCCTGCCGCACCACCAGCGGCATCATCGTCAGCATCACTACTCCACCATCACTACTCCACCATCACTACTCCACCATCACCACTCCACCATCACTACTCCACCATCACTACTCCACCATTACCACTTAACCATCACCACTCCACCATCACCACTCCACTATCACTGCTCCACCATCACCACTCCACCATCACTACTCCACCATCACTACTCCACCATCACTACTCCACCATCACTACTCCACCATCATTCCACCACCTTCACTAATCCACCATCACCACTCCACCATCACCACTTAACCATCACTACTCCACCGTCATCACTCCACCATCACTACTCCATCATCACTAATCCACCATCACTACTCCACCGTCATCACTCCACCATCACTACTCCACCATCACTACTCCACCATCACTACTCCACCATCACCACTTAGCCATCACCACTCCACCATCACCACTCCACCATCACCACTCCACCATCACCACTTAACCATCACCACTCCACCATCACTACTCCACCATCACTACTCCACCATCATCACTCCACCATCACTACTCCACCATCACTACTCCACCATCACTACTCCACCATCATCACTCCACCACCATAAATCATTTATAACTGACCTGTTGCAATCATCAATCCATCATCATAAACAACACATCGCCATCAGTAATGAATAATCATCAGCAGCCAGCAGTATTATGAGACGCATCATCATTGCTGCTTTGAATGTCCACGTGATCATACCGCATTGAGCTATCATTTGTGAGAGCCAGGTCGCTTCTGAAAAATATCTACATAGCTCAATGGGCATTTACCTAATAAAATAAAACGAAGTTTATAGTTTTTTGTAATAGTTTTAATAGCAGCACAATTTTACGTCAAGTATTCATCTTCGCTCACGAGTTCCCGCTCCTCACCATCTAGCTCACCCCACGACCCCTTAATCTCCCCCTTACAACCAGTACCACCGTTCCCTCGTCCTCTTCATGACCTCTCTCCATGGCTATTCCCATCTTTTTCATCCAACCCATTCATCATCATGGCTATCACTCATTCCCCATCTATCCATTCATCATCATAATTTGCTCTCGTCAATTATGCTTTTATTAGCTTCAAAGACAATGCATTTATTATCAGAGCAAGTTTGTTTGCACGTTTTAGCACAAGTACGTGTGGCTAATGCGGACTTGATTCCTTGCAATAGCTACGTCTTATTTTTTAACACCTGTTGTATTGCCAGACAGGGTCAAACCGCATTCTTATTCATCACAACTCTGCCTTGACAACGAATTCACGCATCACAGATTCGCCCAACATTCCCTTCCGTGCATCGTCCTCACGGCCAAGATTCAAACTCGCCGCCCGTTCATTTGCCTCGACCCATCACGACGAGACGAGACGCTCCGAGCTGCCGCCTGCGTCGGATCATCTCCTCGACGGTTGCGCCGTGAACCCCGTTCGGCACACGGCGGATCGAATGCACGGTGGACGCGGTTGGAAATCGTCAACGAAAGAATAAATAAATACACCCGAGGCATTCCGCTCGCAAAAGAGACCCCTCCTTACCTGTCGTGGAGTAGAGAAGGCTTCTGAAGAACAGGTGAGTTCACAGGTGAGTCCCGCACCCTGTCGTACTTGGGACTGAGTGGGGACTGGTGCCTTATATACGCACACAGCTGGTGGGTCACCTGCAGTCACAAGACTGCACCTGAGCGCGTGTCAGCCCGTGTGTGTTTATAGGTGTGTGTGTGTGACTGTTAGCATATTAGTGTACAGATGTGCGTTTATAGATGCAACGCGTGTGACCACGTGGCTGTGTGTGCGCGCGAACGCCGATTGCCCCAAAAGTTTGTTTACGGCTATGGGGGTGGGAGAGATGATTGTACAAGTGTCAGCACATTTGTGTACAGGTGTGTGTGTGTGTGCACAGCATAGGTACGCGTGTGTTCGTGCCCAGGTATGTCAGTATGTGCCTGTATGTGGGTGAGCGGTGGTGCAGCGGTTAGCGCTACGCTGCACTACGAACCCTGGCGACCCGAGTTCGCTCACGGCCAACGACGGTGACAATTATCCGAACCAGTCCTAGGTCGACTCAGCCTCAAATGAGTACCTGGTGCTGTGTGTAAACATCGCCACTGGGGAGACAAAGGTAGTCGGGCATATTCCTTGCCACCCACTCCATCATGTGCCGTTCCGGCCTTCATAGGTGCTCACTAACAGCACTTGCCCCAGCAGTCTGTCAAGGCTATACGGGGGATCTTTGTATGTGGGGAGCGGTGGTGCAGCGGTTAGCGCCACGCTGCACTACGAACCCTGGCCTCCAGAGTTAAATTCCCGGCCACGGCCAATAAAAGTGACAAATATCTGAACCGGTCCTGGGCCTCCCCCTAGGTAGACTCAGCCTCAAAGTATATACCTGGGTGAGTGTTGTCGGTGTCGCGGCGAGAGAGAGGGTCAGCAGTGCGTCACGCTCGTGTCAAAGAATGGTCCCGGATGATGACATCACAGAACTACTTAGGAGGATTGCCTCAACAACTCGCCTCTCCACAGTCGTGGGGGGGGGGGGGGGGGGGGGGGACGCGTTGGATCACGGTCCCCGGGTAAAGGGGCGCTCGTCTCACGCGTGCCGATCCTAAACTTTAAAAAAAAAGTTCGATTCTCGAGAGCGGGGAGTGCAGTCCCAAAAAAATTAGTGAGAACCAAAAACGGAACGGAACGGAGCCGGAACGGAACAGAGACACACGGAACGGAGCCAAACGGAACAAAATAAAAGGATGATCTCGTTTTGTGTGCACTGCGTTGCAGCCAAACCTGGCGACCGGGCCCGAGGCCGCCAAGCAGGTGGTCGACCCCGGCCTCGTCTGGCAGGAGCGGCGCGCAGGTGATCGTGATAGAACACTCGAGAGGAGAGGCCTCTCTGCGCGAAGCTAAGAAGGGCCATTGCCCGAAACGTCGCTTTTTTGTTTTAAACAGGCCACGCGCGTCGTCGTTACGGGCGCACGTGCTTGCCCGCTAGTTGAGGTTTAATCACCGGGGACTTTGAGACGCAGATTCGAGGCCAGGGCTCTTGGCCGTTGCCGGCTCCGTCTTGCCGATGCAGCCATTACGAAGCCACCTCTCATTGTGGTGTTGTTGTTTACGTTCTTTTATAAGGTGCAGCAGACCCAAGAAAAGGCTGCAGAGCACCGCACGGACAACAAAAATCATCTCTGAGTTTAACACGTAGGCTTTCGCGACCAATATCATCCATAACATAGGGTTTTCTTGGGGTTAGATCGTGTAAATATCTACGCGACCTAACCCACAAAAAACGCTCTATTATGGGATAACATCTCTCAGTTGGTGTAACCACTTCCACCTCGGGGTCACGGGGACCAAGATCACCCGCAGCGCCCCAAGGGGCAAACGTGAGCGGTAAATGACTTGCAGATGTCCCTCTCTTTTTATGTGTTTTTTTTACTGCAGGTCCCATGAATGGCGTTGAGGTTTTTTTTAACTAAGCGAAGACGACGACAATTATTCACCGGGGCTAACCGGCGCTCACGAGAGCTGTCAATCGGCCACGTTTCATCTGCCGCTGGCCAAGTTGTGGCTCAGGCCTCGGAGGTCAGAGGTCAGATCCGCAGATCCGTCACCGCTGAGATCCAAGTTTGAATCCCGGGTTCAATAACGAGGGGTTCACTAACGAGGGCTTTTCCAGCGTCGTGGGTTGGTGTCAGCCTGGTCACCAATAACTAACAACAACAAAAACAAAGATCCCCCGTGTAGCCTTCATAGACTGTTGGGGTAAGTGCCGTTAGCGAGCAGCACTTCGTGCAAGTGACGTCATCTAATCTCTCCCTCTATTTAAGGAACGAATCGGGAGGATTTCTCCACAATTCTGGCTGTCGCCTGACGAAGCTAGCTGTAATTACTGGCGAAACGTCGTACTCAGTAAATTTTGTCGCTTTGCTCTCCAATAAACCACCGTTGTTGCTTTACTAATAACGAATTGGCACGTTCTGTTTACGTGACAAACCTGACTCATTGGCTGTGTCGGGTGGTGGCGGGTTTAACAAGACATTTTTATATTTACGCGATCTAACCCAAAAAACCTGATATTGTGGAGCGGCACCTATGAAGGCCGGCACGGCACACGATGGCGGGTGGGTGGCCAAGACCACGCTCGACCGCCTTTGTCTCCCCAGTGGTGTTGTTTACTATACACCGCACCAGGTACTCATTTGAGGCCGAGACGGCCTAGGGGAGGCCCATGACCGGTTCAAATAATCGTCACCGGTGTTGGCCGTGAGCCGGAATCGACCTCGGGGCCAGGTTAATAGCACAGTGCGCTGACCGCTACGCAGTCGCCAATGAGTGCACACACACACACAAGCCTGTAATTAAAATGTTGGTTTCTGCACTTAAATTGGTTAAGTTCCACTATATTGAGAATTATACGACTTCGGTTAGTCATTTCAAAGACATTACTCTGGGTAAATCATTGGCATGAAGAGACACAGCGATAGATCATTCGACAGGTACATCGATCACGTGTCTCGCCACAAGCTGTGCACAAAAGTCTAGAAAGCTTTTGAGAACCCACAAGGAGCGTTTCTGCTTCAGGATGCTGGGACAATGATTATTTTTTCAGCCACGGCCTGTTTGCATCGTACGGATTCTCAAACCTGCTTGCTGTACTCCCACTTCTAGGTTGAAAACTAATTTCTATTAAAACTGCGTTTTGGTGTTTAGTTTGTGTTGTCCTTCCCCCGCACCTCTGACTAGCGCGGTTGGCTACGTACGGTGCGAAAGAAGTTCAACATACGTACACACACACACCTCGCTGCCCAGTAGACCGGTAGCCTCGCAGCACGTGACAATCCCATCGTGATCACCCCCCCCACTCCATCCCCTTGCAAAGTTCGAGATCACAACAGACGATGCACAATCACCGATCTGACAGAGGAGGCATCGAGTGAGCAAGATGGGCTTTGTGTTCCGTGCCGAAGTCTCGTTCACGCTGAACAATCTGCCACTGCTGCCACGTGGGGCTGCGCCCCTTGCTCCCTCCTCCACTGCTGCACCGCAGAGGCTTCAGAGTGAAGCGGCAGCAGCAGCAGTCGAGGTGACGATGATCCAGCAACGGTAGCAGCAGTCGCTCCCTTGTCACTCTTCTAGCGCTACTGCCGTGGCGACTGTTCCTGTTAAACTTCGCTCACTCGGGCGACTCGACACTGTTTAACCCCGTCTATACCGTGGTGTGTTCAACCATCACACTGCAGGCCACAGCAACACACTCGCTCAACCTCTTCCACTCACCACAATTCACGCCACAACAACACACGCACTCACCACAATTGAGGCCACAACACTCACCCATTCACTCACCACGACACACTTGATCAACCACTCTACTCACCACTTTTGAAGCCACAATAACACACTCACTCACCCACTCACCACAATTCGGGCCACAACACTCGCTCAACCACTCCACTCACCACAATTTAGGTCACAACACTCGCTCAACCACTCCACTCACCACAAATCAGGCCACAACAACACTCACTCACCGCAAATGAGGCCACAACACTCAACCACTCCACTCGACACAAATGAGGCCACAACACTCACCACAAATCAGGCCACAACAATACTCACTCACTCTCCACAAATCAGGCCACAACACTCAACCACTCCACTCGCCACAAATGAGGCCACAACAATACTCACTCACCACAAATCAGGCCATAACAATACTCACTCACCACAAATGAGGCCACAACAAGACTCACCCACTCACCACAAATGAGGCCACAACACTCACCCACTCACCACAAATGAGGCCACAACACTCACCCACTCACCACAAAACACTCACCCACTCACCACAAATGAGGCCACAACACTCACCACAATTCAGGTCAACCCCCCCTTCTCTTCCCGCCACATTCCCTCACACCGAGCAGATCCATTTCGGAATTCCCTTGCAACCCATCTCAGCCATCGCCTCTGTTCAACACAAAGTTCTGACGAGGACGTCGCTCGAACACTCAGGAACCCCGCCACCTCCACCCTCCTCTCTTCCTCTCGCTGGCCGCGAAGCGCCGCCGCTGCTCAGCGCTGCGAAAATAAATCACGTCAGTTTTGTAAAATACTGACGGGAATTTTATTGTTTTATATTTTTATTTTGTTTCCCTTCTACGTGACTTTACCGAAAGAACCAAGAATATGAATCCCTGCTGTCACGAAAGCTTTAAATAAAAAAGGAAAAACAAGTTTATTTTTTATTCCGTTGTAAAAAAAAGCCCCCCCCCCCCCCCAGGGATAGGTGCACAATTCGGCACCGCTCGGCACGCGAAGGGTTTGTTAACGATACCGGAGGGCGCCGGGCATTCGGCGTACACCCAGCCCGTGCGTTCCGCAATCAAGACGGGGAAATGCGAAAGCAGCGGGTACTTTAAACAACAAAATAATAATAGGAGTTGTAGGAGTTCATCCACACGCGTGGGTGGGTCACGTGGCGAGTTTGTCTACAACCGATCAGCCCCTTTCAGATGCCTCCCAATTGTATTTTGTCACAAGCCACGCGAGTTCCCACCGCATGGCAGCCGTGACTCGCCACCCCGGCGAGAACGCGGCGCCGATCGCACCAGAGACGCGCGTCTCTCCCCCAACAGCTCCGGAGCCTGCGAGGGCTTCATCTGCAGCGCTCGCTGGCGGCCTGCTGGGCGCGGTGCGACTCGGCCTCTAACCAGTAGCCGGTGCGGCGCGTAAACACCGCCACTAGGGGGGCAACGGCGGCCGGGCGTGGTGCTGGCCACCCACCCCCTCGTGTGCCCGACCGGCCTTCATAGGTGCTACTCGCTAACAGCACTTGGTCCAAGTCTGCTAAGGCTATGCGGGGGGTCTTTGTGCGTGCGCTCGCTTCACGTGGCGACTTTGTCGCTGGCGTCCCCATCGCACGGCTGGGCGGCTACGGCGCGGCGCCGTTCGCAGAGGCTCGCGGTTCCGGGCCCGGCGGCTGCCCTGGTTAACACCGCAGTGTGCGTTAACCGTGACGAGACTCCACAATGGAGGTTTTCTGGGGTTAAGTTTGCGTAAAATATAAATGCGTCGTTTAATCCGCCACCGCCACCACCACCACCCGACACAGCCAACCAAGTTAGGTTCGTCACGTAAACAAAACGTGCCCATTAATTACTAGTTTAGGACTCACGGGTGGTGGTGTGTCGGAAATTAAAACCCACAACATTTACAATTCGCGTCCCGTGA